GCCATAGGAATAGGATGAAGTAAGCATACATATTATTACAACATTATCATGAATATTGATAATTCAATCTTTTCCCGCCACATGAGATTAGGGAAACGCAGTTAACTAGTTATCATTATATCATACGCCGAAAACAACGTATGCATGACAGCAAGGCTAAACAGCGAGACTTCGTCTGGCTTTCAATTGCTATATATTGATTATATTTTAAACTAAATACAATGTACAGCACCGTTAGGTAAGAAATTTAAATTCTTTACTAGCATTGGCATAATATTTACACAGTTTTGCCATACGTACACAAGGATAACATTGCCAAGTGTGTAAATTTGTGCCAACTAATATCGTTTCTATCCGTGTGCCGGTGCGAGACACGCTGAATATTGAATTAAACTAACATCGTTTGGCGCATTGTTACAGGCTATAATGCTTTACTTTACTGTTATCAGTGGTGAAATCATAAACTTTAAAAATGATTTTACTGAACCTTGCAATTGACAACTTTGCTCGGAAAATTTGTTTGTGCATGCGACCATGGCAAAAATCATCAATTGGCCAGCACAAAAATTCGATGGGGGAAACATTCATATGTTAAAATTCATTATTATTATTTTTTTGAAATCGACAGTTTTTGCATACAGTTGCTGGATGTGAATATATATGCCGAGTATGAGGTGCCAACCTCATCCATCGAGCCCGGCGGTTACGCCACTTGCCCGGCCCCTGAAACAGGCCAATACATATATCCTCGGGGGCTGTGCTTTACTAGGCACCGCGGATTTGTAGTAAAATGAATGATATATCACACTTAGTATACCTAGAATATATTCTGTTAGAATTATATACAGGCGTTTGTCCCTTTGCAATTTAACTGAAGTATAATTAAGACATGGGGCAAAAATCGTGACCTATGAAATGAGGCAGAGACAATTTTTTGAGAAAACATTATCATCGAAAACATTCTCGGCAATCGCATAGAATTTCGAGAGAAATTTTTAAAGATGGATGAATTCTACGGGTTTTATTAAATTTTGATATTATTAAATTTTTAACTATACGCTTTTGTGTCATTGTGTGCTTTGTACATCTAATAATAACACTAATTTACACAATTGTAATTTTCCAATTTTTTTTATCAGAGTCCGTCGAGGTATTGGTTTTTGTGATTTAATTTTTCTTTTGCTTCTATCAATTTGAGTTGGTCTTAAGGCGGCAGATCGCGTTAAAACTCGTGGCGTAGGAATATAGATAATCGAATGCGTGTACATAGATACGTAGCTCAGTTCATATTCTGTCGTCTCTCATCAGCCCTGTTTGTTAAAAGGCAAACATAATATAATAATATTATAATGAAAAACAAAAAGTAATAAAAATATAAAAAGGGCAAAATTTGTAAAGGCCCTGTAACACGCAGTGCAATTCTTGTTGGAACTTGCAATGCGATTCTTTTGAAAGATGTAAAAGTTTGGCAACTACCGAACCTTAATATAGGTACGTGTTTATAGCGAATACACTGTTGAGTGGCGGACAGTGCAACTCATAAAAACAACTGTTATACCTGCTGGTTTATTTCTTCTCAAGAAAACTATGTGCAACTCTGTCTCTCGAAACAAAGCAACAAGTTTTTTTTTCTTAAACTGATCAAGCTATTTTAAAGTAGTTCAAATAAAAAAGAGGACCCTTACTTTACTTTGCCTTTACTTTTACTTAATAATTTGCCTTTAGGGCCTTTTTGTCCCTGTAACTGAATTGTTAAGCCGCAATTCTCAATATACCTAGGCTTCAAACTTGGTATACCAAGTGATACATATACTTTGTCATGCAGATTGCAGATGTGTATCGATGAGACGCATGTGAGAAGATTGCAGAATGCGTATTCAGAGGCAAAATTTCACTTTTCGAAGTTATTCAATGGTTTCCTCTTTGATAGCGATATAGAAATGCACAATTGTGAACCAGTGATTACTGATTAGACTTTCGGGTTAAAACTTCATGAACATGCACCAATCTCTGCGCCGTGACGCCGTGTTTTCGCCAACTGTGTTCGGTCAATTTATCAGTGTAAATATACAGACTCCTTGCATGCCTTATGTAGTCTCGCGTCAGTTTAATTCCTATTGTATTTAGCAAATGAGCTGATAGTAAAAATTAGTAATATCTAAACGGCAGAGTTGCAAAAAGAGTTCAACTTTCCTCCGGTAGGATTTCAAGTTTTGAAAACCTTCCTGAAAATGACGTTACGCACGGGTAGATCCAGCACTAGTGCACTAATTTGCATCACAAAACAAAGTGGTTATTTTTAGCAGTTTTCTTGTGTCATGCAAATTAGTGCACTGGTGCTGGATCCACCCCTGACGTTACGTCACTGAGTCAAGTGGCAACCAGCATAAAGAAATATTTGGTTTTTTAGTACATGCATGTGATCAATTAGAGTGTTCAACTTTGAACCTTCCTCACAAACCTCATTCAAAACAAACCTTCCTCCGGGTGGTACCCGACTACCCGCGTACCCGCAGCTTTTTTGCAACTCTGCTTAACGGACTCAATCTTTTATATTTCATGCATGGCCATCAATGACCTTTCATATCTTTTTTGCGTTTATGCAATAGCCGGTAAAGAATATGTCATAGTCAGGTTTTATCGATCAACCCGTCGTTCATGTCTTGGATAAACATATTATATTTTCAAATCATGCGACCAATCGACACAAATTTCCGGAGTATCTTTTTTCAACAACATCAAACAAATATTATAGCTGATAGTTTCGCCATAAAAGTGATTTTGATGAATCGTAATGTCTTAAACAAGACATCTTGATGTTCCTTCTCGTAAAGATAAATAAGATAATTTAGGGAAATAATCCATAAAATTGATTAACTGGCTTTCCTATTGCATGGTTTGAATTTCAGTTTAACTTTTGATGTCCAGAATAATTACTCTCTTTTTCTTATTTGAATTCTTTAGTTTTCATTCGTTCGCTTATCTCTTGCTATTGGAAGTTCAGTTTTGGCATAAAAACTCAATGTCTTACAAAGTGATTGGTACCAAAGACAGAATACTGTATGGATACAGTTTTCGAAACATCACAGGGATGCTGACAATGGATCAGTGTCTGGCAAAATGTTTAGAAGACTGCAAATGTTTGTCATTTCAAATTTGTGATGACGATAAGCTGTGTCAACTGTGTTCCACCAACCAACAGCAAAATAAAGGATCGTCTTTACCAAGGAAAGGATGTACCAACTTTGTTTTTAGGAGAGAACAACAGGTTTGCTGGAAACTTCTTAGTTCGCAGTAAAGCCAAAAGGCCTAGTACGTTTAGTCAATAGATTTTTAACAAAGCCTTAATGACGTAGAATTTCTTTTCAACGGACCGCATTTCATGCATCGGTAACAAAGGTCAATAGAGATCGCCGAATGCCTGCGTGTGATGAAAAACGTTGTATTGGCTGTAATGTGGCTAAATATTCCTATTATTGTTTGAAAATCGAACTCGGTTTCTTGATAACAGTTTTCTGTCATTTTTAGACAAGAATGACTTGCATTCAAGACGCTAATTGTTGTCTGACTTCCCAACCTTGTGAGAATGGTGGTTTATGTGTTCCAACTTACCCCGCAACATCACTACATAGCGCTCGCTTTACATGCAAATGCAGACCAGGTTACCAAGGAGTTGACTGTAAAGAGCCAATAAGAACTTGTCGTGACTACAAAGAAAAAGGAGGTGGAATTTATTACATCTTCGAAAAGAATAAGACTGCTGCTTCTCGTTTTAAATGTCAGTTTCACGGCAAAAGAGCGTGGACCCTTATTCAATCTTACAACTTACAAGATCATGATTCGTTCACAGAATCGTTCATAAACGGAAATGCAGTGAATGAAGATTATCCGTATCATAAACAGTACCGTCTTTCATTTTCCAGAATGGAAAATGTTCGACAAAATTCTACGATGTGGCGCCTTTTTGTCACAAATTCAGAGAATAATTGCAGGGACGTCATAAGGTTGAACATTTTTCCACATGATCATCGATGCTCTGAATCATGTACTTCTGTAAAACAAAGTAAAAGAGTGGATGGAACTTGGTCTAAAGTCATCAATAACAATACCAATGCATGTGTAATAAAAAACAATTCAATCAGCATGTGTGAAAATGCAGTGGATAATTTTGGACTGCATTGTTGCATAGACTATGTTCGCCAATGTTCCACGTCAGGGAACTCAAGAATTGGAATATGGCTTGGGAATGACTATTAGAATCCAAGGGATTTTATTCATTTAAGTTTGTACATATTGGCTATTTAAAATCTTTAAAAATACATTACTGTGAATAAGTATTATTAAGAAAAGGTTAGACGCGTTTTATTTGTAACTATATTAGCTATATATATAATTGTTGATTATTTACTTAATATTACCCTTGTTTTTGGAAGCAGGCATCCGCTGATGAACACTTAAGTTTAGTCATTGACTCATTGTTAGTAACAGGCAGCCTCAGAAGTTACTTTATTGCGACGGTGATTGACGGTGTTTCATATTTTTCACAGTGTATAAGTAACTTCCGATATGCTTAGTTTTACAAGTTCATCCCTAAAAATACCCAATTTGTTGCACTCCGGTTTGGGCTGGTCTGAATTCGGAATTAAAAAATGAAAAGGAGTTAAAACAGGTGTTATACCAAACTCTGTATACGTAATCCTTAGTATCACCTTATTGCGCTAACTTATGGCTGAAACACCGTTTAATATATAATATTCACATTTTCCGGTCCCAACACAAACATCCTGGTAAAATGTACATCCGCTATTTAGACCTTATTTCGAAATCGTAAATTGCATTGGAATTGCATATGCGAATGCAAAAGGATCAAATCCCGCTTGAGACAACGAATTTCCGGTTGTCCTTCGCGGTGTCAGATCTATAAGAATGATCAGTCTGGAAAATTGAAAGGAGAATAAGCTCGTGCTTCATAAGATATAACATTACTTTTTCTTTCATTTACTTCCATCGTAGTTCGACGGATGTCATATTGTTACGTTGCACCCGTTTATTTCATACGTCATATCCTGTATCAGTAATAAGATCCATTGAACATTGCCAGATGAGTATCATATTAGCAGGAAAGCTCTTTAATAATGCCGTAAGCCTAGTGAACATAACTCATGACCTATTTAGTGAGTCAGTCAGTTTAATACCATCTGGAGCACCGCATCCTGATACAGCGTCGTGATCTTCCGAGGATTTCTTGAGAACTGCGCGCAGTCGTGATCATTGTGAATACGGAGTGGACGTTGGTCGCAGTGGAATTTAACACAGTCTGAAGTTTGTTATTAAATCAAGACTCATGATGTTCAACTTGTTTGTTGAGTTCAACTTTCTCACAGCTATCTTTCTCTTGGCATGTAAGTAATTATATGTAGATCACTTTGCGTGTGTCCGCTGTCTCTTTGTTGTAAGTCGTGTAATCATTAAGACATTACTGATTTATGCGATTGCGCTCTAAGAACGGGAGCTTGACTGTGTTTGCTGAGTTTACTGGGTGTGCATATATGGCGTATATCGCTAAGATCCACAGGGGCCAGATTAGCGCGTTATCTGTCGACAATCAACATCAATGCAGGAAGGCAATTATTTGTCCTTCTTATCAGTAAATCTAGACCTTTTACTGAACTTTATAAGGACACACACTGGCTTTATAGGCGACCTGAGTCGAACAGAAGCCTTTACGACTGCAATTTATAGAGGTTTGCTGTGAAATGGCATGAATGTGATAATGATTTTTCAGTATGCACTATACTGTGGCTGGGAATTTGCATCGAGCATGTTCTTCTGAACACTGATAATCTGTTGTTTGACCGTGCCATCTCTTCAGCGGCAATATTACTAGCAGACTACTCAAGATAGATTAGAGTAGTGCGGCAATTTTAAGATCAGACGTCGAATATTCTAACCTAGGGGAGCAATGAAAGGAATTCATGCTGTCACGTCGTGAAATCAATCAGTGGTTGACAACGGAACTATACTAATAACGCTGTTATTCACTTAACAAGCATGCCAAGCTACAACAAAGGAACATAATATTTCAGCTGGAGTGCTATTAAGTGTAATTTCGCTTGTTTCCAACCAAGCAGACAGACAGCATTGTCCTCATAGCGCCGGGAAGGTGAATGCGCAAAATACTAAACACGTAAACATGATATCACGATAAAAACACCAATCGTAAAAACAATATTTTTGAAATGAACGTTTCGCATTTTTTATTTAACAGACTCCCGCCGTTCATAAAACATTGTCTTTGTTGTTCAATTAAAGAATACTGTATGCAAGGCGTCTCACGTAATTACCGCCAATATATATCACTAATTCTTCAATTGTTTTCCCCTCGATTCTATTTCCTTATAAAAGAACCCGACCTCGTTGCTGAAGTTGAATAAATAACCCACTATCGCGATCTAGCAAGTTTACTTCGCCTCTCACTGTATAACAATCTACCTCTTTGAAGTTTAAAACTCTTTAGAAGTGTGCGGCCGCGCTTTCTTCTACTGTACAAGTTCTTAGATAACAATATAAGAAACAGATACTGTGAGAGCCAGCAACGCCATAAAATCTGATTGATTCAAAATTTATTTGTTTTTACTAAATAAAAATCAAAGGGCGATTATTATTGACGTATGCGGTCACACTGCATGCTTCTCTGTTCAAGTTCTGTTCATCTCTAGGGCTAGGCAATACAGTTCTTCTTAATGAATACAAATATTAAAGTTTATATTGATAGAATAAATTAGGGAGTTCATAGAGATATTGTTATCTTTGATACATCACTTTAGCGCGTCTTATCAGAATTCTGTTTTTGAAACGACTTTCTGCAAGCCTTGCTTATTGAAAAACTTGTTCTCTCGTGTTTCTGTTGTGCATTCGAATTCCTTAAAATTTGAGTTCGAGGTAGTAGAGCCACTCTTATACTTTCTTTGAAAAATACCCTTTGTCTATAGTAAAAGGTATGATGTCATTAATCTGTTCTTATACATACGATCAAAATTTCCGACTACCTGGCATATGTTTGCGCCTGGAGGTTTTGCGCGCGCGGAGGTCTTTGTCCTCGGCAACATACCTCGGCTATACATTCTGCTTAAAATCGCGTGTTAACAGCTTTTTCGACACCCGACTAATTAGACAACTTCAGGTCGCCAACGAGCTGTGAACTAGGCATCTTGTGCTTTTTCTATATATTCTTATCCCTTAACACCTCTTCACTGCTGTTATGGCTTATAACCTTTGCGCGGCAGCTCAGCTGATTCTTGCGCTTTCTCGTGTATGGAATATAATCAGTATTTAACATCCATATACAGTATAGGTTTGCCAATCTCATATAAACTTGTTGTTTACCTTCAAGTACGTGTAAGCTTGCTCGTATCACCTTACTGCAAAGTGTTTTACATACTAAGGAAATACGTATACGCCAAAAATCAATTATCCTATTTTATCTGCATGATCATATTCCTAATTAATATTTGCTCAATCATCTGCCTGACAAGCATGTGTTGAGTGAAAGGGTGACCCGTTCAAGCATGCTACAGCTAGTTTGTCTCGTTCGTCAGGAAGATATCCGATTATTGTAAATATTGTTGTCTTATATGATTTGTTTATTCGCTCAATGACAATGTTCGCCGGCATTGACCCTCGCGATAACACTTTTAATTCCTTTTTTATAATTTACAAAATCAATATAGAACACTATAAATCATGAGCATGGCCATTGCCTGTTTGCAGAGTAACATGGAATTGTTACCGGAGATAAAGTACGGCTGAATCAGAATATTTCGCTTACTTGATACCTAATTTTTGGTTTTATTTCATTTTGTAATCATTTCGTAATGCAATGTGCATGCCTGCTATTGTTTTCCATCTACATAGGATATAGGTTCAACATCATAAATTCAAATGACAAACTAGCTATATATACATATATATCTCAATATATAGCAGTTCCGGTGTGGACTAAACAATGTTCAAAACAGAAACGAACAAATTTTTTCCGCTTTTAACGGGTGAAAAACTGCGTTAAGTGTATGCTATGTGTGACTCCCTGCACCTAGCCCAATTTATATAATTCAGTGGTATAATAGATTATGTTTTTAGAACTCTAATACACTTCTAGATAAACGATACCGAAACAGAGTAGGCATACATCTGATCGATCAATATCGTCTGCATGACATGCAACTATGCTGTCCTTACCGCTTATTTCTTATGATACCACGTAACTGAGGGAGTTTAGAATCTTCGATGTGGTCAGCTCAACGTCGCTGCTGCCATGATTTTGCTCAATATCGGACAATAAAATTTAACTATGCTGCCTCACTTTCTAAAGCACTTTTAACAATCAAACAACGCTTCAGGAACTCGCGAATATAAATGTTATAAAACATGCAGTTATCACGACGTCGCAGCTGCCTTCATAAGCCGTGAAAATGTCTCATTTAACGGCGTCATAACTCATAAGACATATGTATGGCAGTCAGGCAGTGCTGTCGTGGGACCATAAGTTATTAATACCTTTTGTTTTGTACATGCACGAGGTGTCTCTTTGTTTTACAAGCGCGCGCGTCATAATGCATGGACATGGTTATGATGATCTGTCGATTAGAGTCCGTTGTTTTAGCGAACATATACAGACATACGCTTCTTAGATGGGCAGTGTCAATTAACATATATATGTACTTGCATTTGTTAAATAATTGGCCGTATTCTGTATCTCATATATGTAGCTATAGTCATATACCTGAGTGCGGTCAGCATTATTTATATACTTTAAATACCATACCGAAAGAGCTCCTAGCACGATTTCATTTCAAAATAATTGTCCATTTGCGTTTCTCTCACTCGTGAAGTGTTAAGGGTACTATGGATGGTAGTCGGTGCCAATTTACTACATAGCTATTTGTTTTCCTCATTGGCATGGAATGTTTTTGAAAAACACTTGTTTATGAAAGAACTACTGGAATCAATGTTTGATGCCGTGCATGATTCAAGTCGTAATCAGAATATGCCTTCTGTAGTAGATATCAGTTTTGACAGTCTGAGTAACTTAAAACTACCGTCTTGAAAATTTTCAATTGACCTTGCAACATACTCAAGTATAAACTTTGACCATCACTAACAGTGATAGCATATATATACTAATATAGTGATTCTATTCTTGCTTCGGCCCATGAAACTGGGTGTTTATATTAAAAACATGTCACAGACATCGACATGCTGTAAATATTGAGCTTATGATATTGAAATTGTTTATTTTAGCATCGTGTGATTCGGTTAAGCCTTCAAAACCCTTTCAACGAATGCCTAGTCTTTTTGTAGATCATCTGTCATTTCGTTTACCAATTAGGCTCGCAATTAAGTATAATGTTTTACCGAAATCAAGCGTAGGTAAGGGTTACGATTGTTCCTTGTCTTTGATTTGCCCTAATAACGCTTTCTTTGTACGTAGAATATATTTTTCCCCCTTGTTTGTGTAATAGATTTGTTTTGCGATCGCTTTTAGCAAACAGTGTGATTAATCCAATATCGAGTTATTCTTCTTTTATTTCGTTTGCGCCCCACACAAAGAAGACTTTCGAATATCATTAGGACCAGAAACCACCTGAAATATAAATTAACCTCAAGCCAACGACGTTTTTTGTGGTTGGAATATATTAGCTTGGTACAGTGTTGAAGGTTCTAGGCATTTCTTGGCTTCGGCTTCAGACAGCAACCAGACGACAAGCATTTTCGCTCTCACTCTGTCTATGTTTATATAAGGAGATCAGTGGAAAAATCCATGCGATACGAACTTATTAAGCCATTGCCTTGCATGAATCGTTGCACTCAAGAATACATAAGAGGGATAATAAGAGGGATAAAGGAACTCTACATAAGTGGGAAATTGTGGGGTTGCAAAAGAACAGTACTTGAATGGGTGTTGGTTGTCATTTAAATAATGGATTTTAACACTGGCTAATGCTAAATGTCAGAATGTGCCAAAGTCACAAGTGCATGAAAGAACAATTGTTGAGAAAACAGAATGGAATAAAATTCTATATGCAAGTCATTATTTGGAGTCGGTATTTCACACATACTCGCTTTAGCTCAGTGTTATGGCAGTGGAACAATAGTTTTTTGAGACCGCCCAGGGTTCATCAGCTCTGTTGTTGCTAACACTTGCTGTTTTGTATCATTATATTTAACCTACAAGGACATATGTGAAATAACATAACGCAGTCTCATAGAGAGTTCTATCACGCAATTGACATTAAATAGAAGCTGACAAAATGACCATTGAAAGTACTTCTGGCGCCAAAGGCAACTATAGACGTATTGCGCATAGGAAGACGTTTTCTCGATTAGCAATATAATATCCGTTTCCTAGCTTTGTTCCTCTAGGCTCTACTTATCATAAGTACTTTTGAAACTGATCACAAAATTGAACATCCTTAGATGTTCTACAAACTACGGTTTAAACGTGTTGGTTTTGAGTAGTTACATGAGAGAATTCAGTTAAACGTGTTTCAGAGTCATCAGTATTTTTTTCTTTGTTTTGAAAACCAATGAATGAAAATACCGTAGGACAGTTTAACCAAGGTCTACGATGACGCAACACCGAGAAACACGATTGCACAAAGGCATAACTTCTGTAAGTCATCACACAGATATCACGACATTATGGCACCGGTGTTTTCAGCCTACAAATATTTGAACAATTGTTAACTAATGAAGTTCTGTTTGCAATATTTGATCGCAAGGTTAATGCATCTGTCTTGTCGTGCGATATATGATGATTCCTTGTATAAACAGGATGTCTCAATTCCTTATGTAAATTGGAACAGTATAAGTTTGAATTTGTTTTAGGCTGACATGCACTTGCAGGATATCACGTTCCAATGTGAATTTGAATTTTTCTTAGATCCTATTTCAGGAACTGTTAAAGATTTTAAAACATCGGGAAAATAATTGCTAAATTGTTCGTCTACTTTGCAAATTATGGCTGTAATAGAAACATCCATGCATGTGCGTGGCACTTCAAACAGCGTGTCAATGTAAGTAACTTTGCTCTGGATAAGGTAGAGGATTATTTTGCATCATTATGTTAAAAGCTTGATGAATCTTGTAGATCCTATTTCACATAGTTATTCAAAACACATCGTAAGGTAATCAACAGTCTTCCTGTTAAAGTAATAAGAATCTAAAACAAATTACTTTCCCATCAGGCGTTCCCTTTATGATGAAATTTATCTCTTCTTAATAGCTTTTGTAAAATGCGTTTTTTACATTATATTATCTGATAGGAGACAAAGTGCCCCATGAGAAGCTTTAGGCAAAGGAACATTAATTAATTACCGTTGCTATACACTATACCGCGAGGTATTTCAATTATTTTTCCGATTCGAATCACGGGCTGGGTCAGACTGTTTTGACCGCTTTTCGAAGAGATGTCGGTAAAAATAGATTTCCCATGCATGCATTGGTTTTTAGAATCTCGTTCTTTAATAGTGCACTGTTAGGGACCGCGCGCGTTCGGTGGCCTGTTATTGGAATTGGCTAATTTCGAACGGAAAATAGCCCATGTTTAACCCAAGATAACTTTATAACTAAAGGCTATTTTGATTTAATTTTTTCGTGTGTTTGTTAAAGAAGGATAGATCTAAAACACAAGGCAATTTTAAAAGTCCAACAAGCTCAAACAAGAATTTAATTTGCAATGGAATAAGTTGAATTTTGAGTATCGCGACGCCATCGAAATCATGCGGCACCGGCGTGCGACGATGACATGTCGTGTTCAAACGTAAATCCGGAGTGATCTCTGGGGTCATATGGGACAATATTGGTATCAAAAGAAAGAGGAGAACCTCAGCTATCCACCAATGTCCTATTCTTTCGAGTTTTTGACTTGGAAAGATTATTTCATGCGAAAAACAAGACTTTTTTGTGTTTTTAAACATTTTCTGGTGCGAAATGTCAGAAGAATCAGGTAAATTCGAAATATTTAGACTTTAAGCTTTCATTTGATGTGTATATTTTAGTATTAGAAAGCGGAGATCACTCCGGATTTAAATTTGAATTTTATAGAAATCCGAACGAATTTCGCCACGCCATTGAGCACTGTGAAAGAAGCATTATGTGAAAATTGTCGCAACTTTAACGACGACGATTTGCGTTTGCTTATTTGGAAATGGGGCGAAGCCTGGCTGGAAAGGTGAGAATAAAATTTGTTTTAAATTGTTGTCGAAAATATTTGAAATCAGTAGTTGTATCGAGGGTAACTAAGGTGACATGGTTAAAAAAAGCCTTCTTATACTGGACAATGACATCATCCCACCTAAATATATAAGCAACCTGAAGCGAAAAGTTATAAGAGTAATTGAGAAATGTCCAGATGGTAGGTGCAGCATTGTTTCAGATCTCTATTAAGTAAACAGTATTTCATTCGGCATTGGTGAAGAATGTGAAAAGTATGGTATAACTGCTGAAATGCTAATTAATTTGCTGGGAGGTGATGCAAACCAGGCTAAGAATAGTTTAGAATACATAGAATACATATTACAGGGAAAATTAAGATTAATTAACCTAGAGTACTCTGCTAACATGGTTGTTATGTATTAAAAATGAGAATGAAGATGTTGACTTAAAAGTATTTCATTCTGCTGTTGATCATGTTAATGAGTGGAAGCATAACCTAATGAGAAATACAGGTGAAAATGCATGTGAAGAGTTTTTAACCCAAATATTTAAGTTCCCTAAGAAGGATAACTGGCACTGTAACACGAAATATGCCCAATTTTGCGTGGCATGAAAGGACATTACTCATTAGTAGACATTACTAGTTTCTTCAAAATTCACTTTTTAAATGGGCAGATTTTAGAATGTTTTAAAATAATTTTAATTAATTCATGTTTATTGTTCTATTCTTAGTATTCATCCCTATCATACTGTATAACATGGTCATGGATTGAAAGTGTTAATGGCTTCAATTTTATGGATCCTTAGGCTTAGCCTGAATCAGTAAATGAGTCACAAGAACAGTATGTAGGAAAATGTATCTGTTTAACAGTCCAGTTTCATGTACATAGTCCAGCAGTTTTTATGTCCAAATCTTTGAAAGGTATTATTATTATTATTATTTGTAAAAATAATTATTTTCCTATGTGAAATGCCTAAAATAAATAGATTCACAATAATGTGACGTCATCTGTGACGTCATGGATCCGTTGTGTTGTCATGGAAACAGGCATGTGGAGTTCATTCCGAATTTTTTAGTGCTTAAAGTAACAAAATTGTTGAAATATTTCATTATAATGCTCAGGATAGGAATATAGTAATACAAGGTTACTATAAACTGTAAACTTACAATGACGTCGTTGTGACGTCATCAAGTTTTCATGGTAACACAATTTTGTAACATTGTTTGAACAATTATGACAACATTGATGTATATATGTCATAGAGTACGTTACTATAAATTTTATAAGTCATAAATTATCTACTTGCACTTCTCGTAAGCTTTTTTGTCATTTAATGACGTCATAATCGTTGCCATGGCAACGATAAGTGTCCGATTGTTACATCGTATTGTGTCTTTACATACAACCAGTCGACTCTGAAAATTTCGTGGTGATTGGTTAAAAATTCTAGAAGTTATACCCTTTTATGTTAAAAAAATAGTTTAAAGTCGCGCATTTTGGTGCCATGTTAAACACCTAGTTGTAACACCTTTACACCTACGCATCTTCCAAAATTTGGCCTAAAATTCCGACCTTTAAACTGTCATAACTTTTGATTGCCTTAACCGATTTTGATGAAACAAACACCAAAATGTTTCAAATGACGAGATGAATCAAACTAGCGTATTTGCGGAGCCCCCCTGTAAATTTAATTTTTTCACTGTTATCCCTAGCACTGTTATAATCTTTAAGTCGTGGGAAAGGATGAGGCACTCCAAGATAAAAATATCCATCGATATCTGAAAATGCTCTTTCGATAACTATCTAATTATTATGAGCTATATAAGAATAACCAGAACGAATACTGTTTAGTAGTGGGTGAAAATGTTTGCCGATATAGCTATAAAATTATACAAATATCGATGGCAATGTCGAGACAAGGTTATGCACAAAAACTTAGGGAATAGTTTCAAATTTAGCCATTTCCATAGTTAAAACTATGAATCACTCAGATATAAGAGTAAGTATATATGCACATACTCATAAATCATAACGGGCGATAAATAAAAGTACTCGAAGGTGAGAGCTGGAATTTTCGAAATGCTATTGTCGTGCATGTGTCTAACGGTTTTTCAAAGTCTGTAATCCCACTTACTACAATTATATATAAGATTAGTTCAAAAAGATCATTAGTAAGCTGAAGACAGATTTCTCTGCGTTGACAACTGTGTCTGACATTTCAAACATTGTTTAGCCGTACTCAAAATATTGCCTCATAACTTTAATACCCTATTTATATCTCCAGTGACTATATGTAACTGTACACAAGATGTATAGCTGTTCTGCGACTAAAGACAATGCAGTTTGGGCTCTCCTCATACCCGAATGACGTAACATGTAAATCGTAGGATTACAACTGTTTAGCTGCATGCTATATACTGAAACAGACATGCAACATGTCCTAAAAGCCGACACTTCATGTACACTCCGCGAATCTCCGTATAAAGCTTGGAATCATCGATATTTAACCGTCATGCATTACAATCTTCAAGATAAAAAAAGGCAACAATTAACCATATTTTAGGCGGCTTTTATATGAAATCAAGATGGAATCACGAATTTGTCTCTAACCAATACATATAAGTATAGTCAAATGGAAAAGGCGTTTGTTTTATTGGTTTAAGGCTTATATTTTCTTTAAAAGCATTCTTCATTGGTGGTTTCCCCTTAGTTCTCGATTGTGGGAAAATTAAAAAAATTGCACGATGTGTGAGTCCGATAAAGACTAAAACTTTGAAGTTGTCCATCAGCACTCTATTTTGACGTCACCTTAAAACTAGAATAATGTCGATAAGCGTAGTCGGACAATTTTTGTAAGTGCATGATGTCAAAAGTATTGCATTTAACACTGCATGATACTTTATTTGGTAACATGAACTGATTTAACCTACCGTACATAGACCATACTTTTCTAAGTACTCTCGAGAACTTCAAGAATCAACTACTTGGAAAGCCTGTCAAGATCTTTGTTTTCTACTGGATAGTTATGAGGATCTTTTCTCCGTCATAGAAATTTGGCTAACTTCCACACGAGATAAAATAATAATTTCGTCCACTTCCCGTCAATTTTAGTATATATACACATTACACAATGTTAATATAGCAGCATAGTGATCTCATCTTTATTCTCTAAAACGGAAATAAATCTTTCACATCCCGAGCGGCATAAATATATAATTTACCATTTAATAATACGCATTAACCCGAACAATCAACATCTTGTTAACTCAAGATATTGGCTTTGAAAAACAAGAAACTATTTTGCGCTGATATTTCGATTCTCTTTCAAAGCCACTGGTCAGAATTGAAGCGTATCCTGTGTCAGCACATGAAGTTTTTCATCCTTTGGAGTTAAAAATGTATAAGTCTATAGTGTTCTACGTTCTATGCTTGTGGTTAAGTAGTGAAGGTAATTGCTTTTCTTTGGTTCTTTTTGCATGCGGCAGAATGTTTATATATTCGCAAATATGTGCACTTGGTCATAACAACGCCAATGTAATTAAGCGTTGCCTTTTCGACTTTCGTCCATGTTTTTTCTGTCACTCAACAAGCATTAAACGATTTAAACGAGTTATTACAATCACGTTGAGCTGGCGTGTGAAATCAACCGTTGTTTGTTTATAGTATACTTATCCCTCTTGCCAGTGTTACATAAGATTTTTTTGCATGGAATGAAATTTACATATGTTTATTGGAAACGAAGCGAGAGGTCTCATATCACTGAAACATTGAAACATGAAGGGGTCTTTCAAAATTTAGTCTTGACAGTAATAATAAAGCCGTGGAACGTCGCTAATTGAAAGAACAGATTTGCAATTTAGCAAACTGGGCTATGGCAATTTTTGATGTGCTGAATGCTTGATGTAAATATAATAATACTGTTTTATAAATCTCATTGCTAACGACAGATTAATTAACATCGCTGTGGAAATCTCCATGTATGGGATTGTTTGGATTGGGTAATGAATATACGGAATGACTAGCGAATACGAAACTTTAAATTTCATCAGTGGATATAGCACATGCATAGGAATTTGCGCTGAAGACCAATGGCATAATTTAAGAGTAATACATAAATAATAATCATCCCCCCCCTCCACCTACTATATTGTGTTTGATAATCATCTCCCCCTGCTATATTGTGTTTAATAATCATCTCCCCCTGCTATATTGTGTTTAATAATCATCTCCCCCTGCTATATTGTGTTTATCAATCATCTCCTCCTCCCCCTGCTATATTGTGTTTAAATATCGAACAGAAGAACGATGGGGTGTTGCTACATCTTAAAACGTTAGGGGGGAAGTATGCGACGATGGGGTGTTGCTACATCTTAAAACGTTAGGGGGGAAGTATGCACCCCTGCATCGATTGATACATGCTTGAATTGGCCCTGAAAGCGTATCTATAGTAATGAATTTGGCCATCTTTTTAATAAAAATCTTCCTAATTTACAGGTTTTACTTCAGTTCAATGTTCGGTCGCAGGAGGTTCGAAGTAAGTTTGTCTTTTTATTACATATTTTTCCTCACCACACACTATTAATGATGGTTAAAAACCATTACTCCCGTGTTTAACGTGAATATGCGAACTGAAATTGCTTTAAACCACTGATGTATATTAAAACTGGATAACCTATTCCATTACAAACTACTTGAAACGTACAGACCTTATCCGGCCTATCCCCACAACGGCATTGGCATTGATGATAACCATGCATCGCAGTCCAGTTATATACCTGGGACCGGTTGTTCGAAAGGCGTTTAGCTTAAACGGTGGATAAGCCAAATTTTAAAAATACTCTCATATATCTTGTGAATGACTGTACCTGCATCTTATGCATTAGATATGTACTCTCATTGAAAATTAAACTATTTACATCGAAATATTTCAGCTCAGTTGTTCAATAAATAGATAATTTTGTTTTCTATTTTGAACTTATCCACCCTTTAAGCTAAACGTCTTTCGAACCCCTGTACATCAGGGGCCGGTTGTATCAAGCCCGTTTAGCTTAAACGGTGGATAAGTTCAAAATAGGAAGCAAGTCTATCGTTTTATTCAACAATCAAACTAAATGTTTTCAACCTTAATACAAAGATACTGTTTACAACTACATATTCAGTGCATAATATTCAAGTTGACTCATTCAAGAGAGATGTAAAAGTGTTATTTAATTTCGATTTATCCACCGTTTAAGCTAAACGGGCTTGGGGCCGGTTGTCCAAAAGCCGGTTAGCTTAACCCTGGGTTAAATCAATTCTATACATTAATTTTTAATCCCTTCAGTGTTTACAATGTTGAAGTTTGTAATAGTTTTTCATAAATATTGGACCGATAGAAGTCGTATTTTCCAAAGTTTTATAAACAAACAGTGGTTCAGAAGCACAAAGGGGTTGGCGGCTTGGCGCCAACCTAGCTTTGAACAGCTGGCCCCAGTGCCTTAAGTCAAGTGAGAAAAAGACGTTTTCGGTATTTTTCGTATTATATCCGCATAAGCATGAGACAGCAAGGTAAGACAAGGCTGTATCCCAATTGTTTCGCCTTGTAAATGTATAATATAGCCTTTGGTTAATGGTGATCATGATGGGGAGGGACTGTATATACTGTATAGTATACTGCATCTTTGCGGATTTAAGTTGTGATACGTGGTGAATCGCAATCTTTAATTATTTCTGAGTTTAGCAATATATAAGTAATAAACCATTTTTGTTTTTATTGATGTAGACTAACAATTAACTCTTTTTCTCAATTCTATAGGAGTGGAAAAGGTAAGAATACAATCTTCTTTTTTTATATATATATTATCGCGCATTCTTGCTATCGGGGAACTGGGAACTTAAAAATCGTGTATTAATCATCAACTTTTCCTTGATTATGCACAGGGTGTACTAAAGTCTTAACTGATTCTAGTGGCGTCATCCTATCTCCAAACTATGGTCAAAAATACCCGGGAAATCTTGCTTGCACGTGGACAATCAAAGCACCATTGGGCAAGAAAATAAATCTATACTTCAAAGATTTTGTGGTAGAAAAGAGTCCGAGCTGTCGATTGGACTACCTTTTATTGTTCGATGGTCGAAATAACTCAGCTCGTTTGGTTGGTCGATATTGCTCGGCAAGACCCGTACCATTTACGTCATCATCTAATTATATTCACTTGGGATTCTATACTGACGTATCAATAGGATATAGAGGATTCTTTGCCCAGTACAATACATCAATAGCAACAGCAGGTGATTATGCAGTGTAACAACATAGATAGATGTAGAGGAATGATTTGAAGGATTGACACTATGCAGAATCAAATGAAAATTTAATTTATGTCATTTTGATGGCAATCTACCCGAAAAATATTCCGCAGGCTGTAAAATTTTCGAATGCTCTAGGTTACGGAGAGGGGTGGAGGTGAAGTTATTTCAAATGACATTTTTCATCTCAGACCTTGGATCTGATCTAGACGTCTGATTCTTACGTTTTTACATTGTTTTTTGTATACATTGTAGAGAAACCAACTACTTGGAAAAGTCGTCCAAAATTTAAAAGCACCATTTTAAACAAGACGGCTATTGTTGGTGACACGGTGGGACTACACTGTGAAGTCGAAGGCACGCCCGAACCAGCAATAACTTGGAGGAAAGGATCGCAGATATTGAAAAAAAATAACAATGTATTTATTAGCAAAACTTCATTCAAATCAACTTTGATTATCAAAAAGGTTGGTAAAAATGACAAAGGAAAGTATATCTGTCAAGCTTCAAATGGTTTTGGGCCATCCATAGAAGCAAGTGGATCACTGGTTGTTAAAAATAGACGTAAGTTGTTACTTGTTAGTGCTGTAGACAATGGCTGATTATAACGTCATTGAAGCAATATAATTCTATAAGTTCGACCTTAACCATATAACATAAGTATGTTAGTATCTGACTGTGCAGTCATTTTTAATCATGCAGGGGCTAATCCGCCCCTGCATGGCTGTAGAACTTCAAAATGAAATGATATATGTGAAAATGGCTTGATCGGATATCGAATCTAAGTTATATATCCATATCAGAAAGTGAGTCGTGATAGATTTCAACAATACAGTATTTCTTCATACTAGTATAGTGCCACTAAGAATTTGCGAAATTGTCTTCACAGAAATCCCTCTTATCGCAAATATAACAAAAAACCAAACAGTATCTGTTGGAAGAACAATTGAATTAATATGTGAAGCTGAAGGACTCGTTCCTATGGAAATGACGTAAGTCCAATAAGTACAATACTATGTGAAGATGTTGATGGTCAAAATTTGGGGTGGGGTGTTAGATCGATGTTGTAAATTTGTTTTGTCCATTTGAAGGTTTCGAGAGAATGATAAAGATCTGAAGTCAATCAAGTGTGAACAGAGTGTTGGGTGTAAGATTCAGCATAGTAAAATGTTTGTCGAAGATACGGTTATTACATGTAAAGTGTGGAACACTGCTGGCAATACAACGAGGCATTTTAACATCAAAGTTGAAGGTAACTCATAAAAAAGTGTTGATAAAATTACATAATGTTCAACCAGTTCTAAGGCAGTAGTTGAGATGCAGTTTTGGTGTAAGAAGTAGTCATGGAAAAAATAAGGAAAAGGGATAAACATTAGTCGTTAACAGAAATAAATAACGAGTCATTAACTTCATATCGTGAGGAATCTTCACGTCATTTAAAGATTGACGGGTGAGGAATTGTCAAATCAAGTTGACATTATTCATGCAATCTCAAATACTACAAAAAGTATAGGTTTTCATCCGCCCACACAATAGACCACAAACATTTTGCGAGAATATATATAGGCCTATGATTTTTCTACGATAATTTCTGTTCAAGATTGTTAATCTTTTCAAAAATTTTAGGGCCACCAGTTATCATCCGTGCACCTGAAAACCAGACAGTTCAACGGGGTGATGCTGTCAATTTTACTTGTGAGGCTATTGGTAAAAATCTAAAAATCAGGTAACTGTTATACAGTAAACTAAAATTAACGTTTTATGGCATACCAACAATAATCGACTTACATGAACTGAATTAATATATCTTACGATTTTTTGTGTTCGTTTCTCATTTATTCAGTTGGTTAAAAGACGATAAACCAAAATCTGATGGGGTTTTTACAAGAGAAGGTCGTTCTGTACTTTCGTTTTCGGTAAAACGGAATGCAACATTGACATGTATTGTGGAAGGACAAGATGGCAAGACATCCAAGAAAGCTCGAGTGTTAATTATCAAAAAAGGTGGGATTACCTTAATATTAAGATGATTTGTAACCGAAAAGAAATTTTTCGGCCTGCGCGATATTTTGTGGTGATCACCACTCAGAAATTTAAGTTTATTTCATATATTGTCAATTTTATCTTAATTATTTCGGACCTATAGCTTCACGTTTTTTATTAGATTACTGCATCTACTTTGTGAATTTTTACTCTCATTCAGCTTCTGTATTCTGCTTAGACAATTGAATGTGTAAGAGTAATAGATGATGACATTATCCATTTACGAAAAAAAGGTTTATTACGCATGCAGGGATTGGTAAATTTTCTTTTCTTAATCTTTATCAGAAACAAAAAAACCAACGCCGATGAGACGTCGGCTGAAGTTCTCCAAGTCACCAATGAATGTAACTGTAAAACACAAGGATTCTGTAAGACTGCAGTGTCAGGCAACAGGAATGCCTCCGGCCTACATCAGGTAATAATAAAAATGAGGTCGGAATGAATTAATGAACATTGGATAGTTCAAGGATATCTTGAGTGGTACGGTATGACGCCGCCATGCAGGCCTCCAGTTAAGTTCCTGAGATTGAAGTTTTAGAAGAGACTCCAATATATATTACTACAAGCTTATGTGCAACGGAAAACCTTGAAATTGAAACTTTATTAATCTTGAAATGTTTTCATCCTAGCTGGAATCTTAATGACACAAAAGTGAAGAAAATACCAAGCCTGTCAACAGAGGGACTGTCGACTCTGGAATTAAAATCTTTAAAGAAAAGTGTTATCGTAACTTGCATTGCAAAGAATGATTACGAAACAATCCAATCAAATACAGTTCTAATAACCGTCGATCAAGTACCAGGTAAGTGTATTGCAAAAGACCTTTCTCATATGAGGTTAAACGTCATTACGGTAAACTTCCAGTCGACTTGTGTGCAGGACGAACTGTTTTTTTTATTCCCTTTTCATCTTTAGGCCCCAAGGTCGAAGCCCAAAAATCGGACACTTTGAACGATGAAATAAAATCAATCTTGGGGGCTGGTGGCGGTGTCTTAGTCCTTACAGGATTCATCATTCTATTCATCGTTCTTCGACGAAAGAGAAATAAGGAAATAGAAAAAGAAAATCAGAGGCCAACAAATGAAACAGCTGCTGGCAGAGAGGACGAGGCTCTTATTCTGAATCCAATTTTGAGCAACAAAGAAACACCTAAACAGGGAATGGAAATGTTACATTATCCACGAGATTGTATTGAGCATACTGACACCTTGGAGAATGGTAAGTTTTATATACATGAATTAATTCATTTAATTATTCGCGGTATATGCTATATAGGCCTGAAAAAGCATTTTGTTGTTCACGGTTGACTAAAGAACCCGACACAATAGGAAAAAATAGGTACGCGCGGCGCACGTCCAGCATTGCAAGTCCAACTCAGCATTGCAAACTTTAAAGCTCAATGCGAAACAATGAACTAATGCTAGTATATTTTTATTAGGAACGCACATTGAGATGTTCCTGGGACGTGCGGTAGATCTGCCATTTACACCTGGAGAGGTAAATGTTGTTGTTCGATCACTCAAAAACACTGATCCCTCGGAAGAAGTGAAAGATGATTTCGACCTCGAAGCTTCAATGTTGGCAAATTTGGTTCACCCAAACGTGGTACATTTAATAGCGGTTTGCATCAAAACATACCCGCTCTGCTTGGTCTTTGAGTACTCCACTCATGGGTTTTTAGACGAGTATTTACAGGATTGCGACCAAAACGAGCTCAACAACAGGGGGAAAACAAAACTACCAGCTGAAAGAAACTCGCTGACTGACCTAGCAACCGTTGATCGATTATCAATCGCTAAACAACTTGCGTCTGGAATGAAATATCTCAAGGACAAAGATTACATACATCAAGAATTGCGGGCTCGTAACTGTCTCGTATTCAAAGACCAACACGTGAAGATCGCAAATCTTGGTCTGCATTGGGCAAAACCAGATCAAAACTTCTTCGTAATGGAACCCGAGGAGAAACAACGTTTTCCTGTTCGTTGGTTACCGCCAGAGGTTGTACTATACGGGGAATACACGCACTCCGCAGACGTATGGTCCTATGGTGTGCTGCTCTGGGAGATATTCTCGAACGCACAGCTGCCGTATACCAGCATCAATGACAGTGACGTAGTTAGTTACGTACGCGGTGGTAATATACTACCACGACCTAAGATATGTCCAGACGAAGTTTACGACGTCATGAAAACTTGCTGGGAATTGGCGCCTTCAGAAAGACCAGATTTCAAGTCTTTACAGGACAGAATGACCGCACTACACGCTGGTGTGCCTGTTTAACAATGTAAATACAGTAGCTGTATGTCACAACAATGAGAGCATGCATGTTGCAACAGCGCTTCGATTCATATTTATACTAGAAACTGATCCAGAATTGAAGACGACTTCAGTAAGTATCTATAAGGGTGAGCTCATTTTATATACGGCTAATTCAACAAAGGTGGCATTCTGAAAGGCGTATGTGAATGCGATAAACTTTGACGCAATAGAGCCCGATATAAAATTTCAGTTGCTCAGACTCTAGGGTTAAGGTTTGCGGAAAACCCTGTACTGAATTAGCTGTATCTGGGAATAGTTACATAAACGCGGCAAATCTGTCAAAATATTATATTCTCGGAATACTTTGTCGCTGGCCTAAAATTTAGCAAGAGAGTTTTTAAACTTATTAACAGATATAAGATGAAAAAGTACGCAGCATGCCCAGTCCCTGGAGTGATCTCGCAACATCAATACGTCAGACCGGTCTATTTGGCTTGCATTTTTAGGCGAGTTCTTAATCGTACATATAGTAATAGTACGATATCGTACACAAATCACTATGCTCGCTATTCTGTAAAATATCTTACCTAGAAATTAAACTGGAACATGAATGATATAACTATCTATATTAGATAAATTCAAGCTGATACAGTGTGTAGAGCTTGTAACTAAATCAGTTGAAGATAGAATGCCAGGATGAGATTTGGGATTGTTTTCCTCTAGCACGGCCTAGAAGAACCGGACAGTCGACAACGTAAGTTGTACACAGATTCCAAAGGCTTGAATGGCATGTAGAAATCAGCGAAGTTTAATTAAATAATTATTTATTTGTCACTGTATAGAGGCTAAATAACACATTGTTTTGAAATAAAAAACGTTATTCTTGTTTATCATTAGGAGAGCGTTCATATTATTACGTCCAATACATGAACGAAAATGCTAACTGATACACATTCTGAATACACTCCCTTATTGGTAATGACACATATAGAGGAGGTGAACTGTCTAACGCCATACATTTTTCACACACATGTTTACAGTATACATTATATTTAACATATTTTATTATATATATTTACTGTGAAGATTTCTTTGGATTAATGGCGATATGTTTAAAACCATGCAAAAGCAGGATTTCGCAAGTATTTTATCAAGAAGCTGGGCCATTAGTTATCGCGAGATAAATCTCCTTAAAAACATCTTTACCAGCATGGATTTTTGTCAAAAATCTACTCTAAAGTTCTAGAAAACTATCCTAGTGACATTAATACCGCCATATCCTTTAAATCTAGTTTTTCTCCTAATTCACGTTCGTCTGTTATTCACTGTCATTATTTTAACGCCTACACTCCCTCCTCCCCTTCTCAATTTAGTTGGAGTTTCTTCTCCATCTATGTTACATAACCTTCCCTTGGTTTCTCGTGAAACTAGCTCAACATTTCTACAATGTTAAAAAGAAACTCCATGGACGAAGGTGTGCTGCTGCTTGAGGGATTCACTGCATTGTGAATTGCGGGGACAAGCTCATTGTCCAGGTCAGTTGCCATTTCATCCGGCAGTGTCTGACCTTGTGAACCAATGATGTACCCAACCTAGACCAGAAGTAATCAAATATGTAGTTATTCACAGAGCAGATCGAAGTAATCTATTGAAATTTGCACACGTATTAGTCATATGCACTACTCACACACAGAAAACACAGATGACGGAAAATATTACTTAAGGCCCGTTTACACTTGCAATTTTTGCTGCGATTTTCTTCTTTTGATAGATGTGAATGAGTCAATTAGTTACTGATGTTTAAATAAGAGCTCTTACACATCAGAGCATTCGAAACTAATTACTCGTTCACATTACAATAGGAAAATCGCAGCAAAAATCGCAAGTGTAAACGGGCCTTTAAACTGCATGGAATCCGGTCTGTGATGAGGTATACAGTAAAAATATTTAACGCTGCTAGTGAAAACTACGCTTTACAACGACAACAGCGTGTAGCGCACACATGTTGTAAAATAAAAAAGAACATAGAGTAGACCGTATATTAAGGAATCCCTTTGGCTTGTTCCCCCACCGCCTCATGCATATCTCATTACGCACTATATTGTTTACCATATGCCTCTAGCCAATGAATAACATGCAATAAACATGCTGAAATTTTTTGTTTGCTGTTGCTTTGGCGAGTCGATTGCATAAAAGTCGGGAGCAGGTTGGAAGGCTGAGTGCAGGCCTACTGTATATAATATTGAGTGACGATACTTACCATATCCGGGCTGAGGTTGACTCGTAATCCGATGCGGCGTTTCTCAAGTTGATAAAGAGTAAAAAGATAAGGTCGTAGAGCTACAGTACAGGCCTTTGCAATATCCGCAGTTGTTTGTTTGAATTGAGCAGGCAGATTACGCGCAGGTCTGTCCCCGGTATGGTTCAAGAAAAACAACTCAGTCCAACGTAGTCTAAAGATACTTGGTGTAGAGAAATCAAAGTGTGTGTTGATCTTGATGTCTGATGTTGTTCCAAGTGTTTGACCGTCAATTGGACTTAACACGCTAGAAATATTTAGTTTTATATCAATATGACATTTGGTGGCTTGTTTTAGAGGACGAAGAATAGAAATTTGAATACTTAGTTACTTATTAACTTTTAGGTTCCGTTTGATTATTTTATTATCTGAATGTATATTGTTGTACTAGTGGTAAATCTACTGTATTTTAGATTATCAACACAGCATGAATTCTTTGGTAGTTTATTAAAAATGCGCAAGTGTATACAAGGAATTAAAAACAAATACCTCTGCATATCAGGACTCCTTTTCGAAACCCACTCAAATACAACCTGTTGTATTGAAGCACCATCAGTATCAAGGCATCCAGTATCAATAGTGAAGTCACTCATCTCACGCATCGCCTGTCTCATTTCTTCACTCAATTGTTTGATCATTTGAACCATCACGCCATCTGATTAGAAAACAATAATTTCATACGTGATCATTTACAGAAATACAAAAAATCACACACATTATATTACAAGACATGTTGTTGTGATATTTTCCCTTAAAATACACAAGCAGTTCTTATATCAATCCTACCTTCCACAACGCTGACTTTGGCTCTTACATCATTCGTAGTTTTTAGGGCCCCATTGAAGACGATGAAACTTGCACCAGTTACTACAAACGATGATACACATGCAGACTATAAATACTTCACCTACAGCTAACAACCACACTGTGCCTGGTCATAGGTACCGGGCCCTAAAGTTGGTTCTTGTCCCATTTGTCTGAACGTCCCTTCAATACACTGAATTAACTGTTAAGATACCTTTTCGTTCTTGTCCTTCAATATTTATACACTGAGTTTTATAATTCGCTCCCTCTTGTATACAGACCAAGTGAGAGTCGGCAACATTACTGAAAGACGCTTCAAATGCCATCACGTATTCATCGGTTGCATTCAGGACCTTTAGGACCTGTGTCAAGATTTCGATCAAACTCATCAAAGGCCGTTAAGGCCGACTCACGGATAAGTTCAACTTATAGTATGAAACAAGGAAAGGTTTAGAGCTGCTCCACGAGAGAGCATTGTGCAGAGTTTGCACGTGTCGTTTGTTTTTGCTACATTTGTTTGTTTCGCTACATTCGTTACTGATTATCATCCATTAATTTCAATAATGACCATAAAATATCAATCACCCCCGTTTTTAAAAAGACGTGCTTTTGAATGACCTATACAGGGCACATGTGTCTTTGAGATGTTTGTTACGGTACCTCATCATATCGATTTTGTGGTAGTTGTATGACAGCTTTCTTGTCTTCCAAGTGAACATACATTCCAGTAACTCTGGGTAAGGTGTATTGGAAATTTTTAAAATCCTGAAAACAGTCAGCAGGAAGCAAATCAATCACTGTCGATAATCTTGTTCACTCTGATAACTAGATTTGTACCACATGACATGACATGACAGCCGCGATCACAATTTGTGTATCACCTTTCCCGGTTTCTAACCTTTCACGGTTCTAACTGACAGGTTTCTTCAATTTCTCATATACCGCAGTAACATATACATAGTGCATGTTCCAGCATTATTCTTTTCTAAATAGCCATAAACTTACTGCAAGAAGATCCATAATCGTATGACCAATATCACCGTACAAAGCTTCTCGATCTCTAACACTCCACAATGGTGAGGGATAATCTATAATAAACAAATAAATTATTACCTGCCAAGGCGGACGGACCCCCACCCCAACAGTCGTGGTTACAACTTTCCTAAGGCACTCACATCGATACTCGGCTCCGAGACGTAGAAGAAGTCTGATTGGGAAAAGCTGAACCCAGGACACCTCTTCTCTTTGAATGAGTATACCAAAGATATGAGGACCAGATGGCAACAATAAGTTGTCTAAACACTTAAAAAAGAAAGACGAAGAAATCAAATACAATTTCCGACGTGATGTCGTTGAAATGAAAACTTCCAAACTTCCCTTGATTTAGACCTACAGATCTGAAGAACATATAAAAAAGTTCAGGTTTAGTACCTGGAAGGAAGACTTGACGTAAAGAAACCCTGCATTTCGTAGTGAGCCCAAAAAAGGCTGTCCAAATATCGTATAGCCCAGATCTGTTACTCTGTGACCTATAATCCATGTAACATTACGTATTAACATTGCATTATGTTTTACAAGAGATGGCAATATACTCAATATGACGTCCCAAATGTACTACAGGTGAAAAAACTGACTGAAATTATATTTTTTGTCAAATGCAGTGACCGCTAATTAGTACAGAAGACAGCGATAGTTAATATTCAATATGCAAAACCTTCAAAGAGAAACCAACAAACGTAATTTCAGTGTTGTTTAAGAAGTAACAGTGTGTACCTTGTTTAGCATAGGCGAAAGCTGTGTTGAAGTGAGACAAGACGTCTTGTGGAATTGAAGATTCCTTAGGAACACACTCTAAAAGTATCACCTGCACGATAATAATACAAAATACTATTAAAAGCAGGTCTATTTGAGAATCTAAAAGACTTTGCACGTGAACGAATCACTGTCACGGAACTGCGATAGACATGTGTGGAGACAAGTGTTATCCACTAATGTCGTACGCTGTCCTCACCATGTCTTCCTGATCAGCAGTTTGCATTCCTTCACTGCTGAAACACCAACATTTTCGCTTTACACAACAGTTCACTAAATATGCCATAAATTATAAAATATGTCAAGCATTTAAAACCATCAACTGATTGAAATAATGAAATAATTACAGTTAGTTTCAGATCTTGGTGAACTAAAAAAATCTACGGAATCACAAAGGAGGTTACATAAATTTCGGGTTCCCAAGTTTTCACTAGGAAAAAGTTCAAAAGACAGTTTAACACCCGAATGTTTCCAACCTGATTGTCTTGGCCTTTGCTTAATTCAAGAAAATAAACTTACATTTTACAATCTTCACTCTCACAACCAAATTTTTATTCAAGAGGAAAGTCACAGTTTCTTTTTTCTCTGCAATAGAAAGTGATTAATTTTACTGGCAAATTCCTCTCAAGGACACGAATGAACTGTTGGCTGTATGGCTAAAATATCAAGAAATACACTTCAAGAATAACTTGTAGGAAAATCCGTTAGTCCGTTACCCATTGATTGAAGTATATAATTCTCCTGTCGTTTACGTATACGATTAGCACGTTCCGTAATGCTATTAATTAGTGTAGTTCTGAAAAGACAGATGTGTTAAAGCTTACTTTTCAAAAGATACAAGAGTTCCTGGTGGTTCGGTGATTCGTCGATTTTTAAACCTAAATTCATTAAAAATAGAAAATGTATAGAGAGGACTATATCCAATATTGAAATATTGCAGTCTTGTGAAAAAGGTTATTTTGGAAATGGCATGCATGGCGGTTGTTATAAAGGGTGTATAGATCCAGGTTGATACGGGGGAATCCTAAGTAAACCCACAGGACACAACTCATGATAGTGTTATTTCTTGGCATCTTGAACTGTACGGAAAAAACGTGTACCTTCGTTAGTCTTTCTTAATAATGGCGGCAACGGAATGTTGGAAGTTACTGGGATGTCAGCACTTGACATGCTGGAACTGCTCGAACAGGCTGCTGGTCTAAACTGGGTAGCCTGTGGTGTTGATTCGTTTCCAGTGTCTTCAGCAAACACTGGAGCAACAGAGGCAACCTCGATAGGTGTGAAGGTTTGCGATTCTGTCTCTTCATACTCGGGTGGCGGTTCAGCACGTGATACAACATCCTGCACTTCCTGTGACGGTGCTTGTTCAACTAAATGGTTTAGGGAAAAATGCACGGTTATAAAGATGCAGCGGTTTGGAGATCCCGATACCTATGCTGCACATTTCTTATTCAACCCAAAGATCTGTACAATAATCCAGCCAGACAAATTCGCAACTCGATGAGCAAAAATAGTGCTCGACTGCATGCATCTCAATATACCTCTTGCCTATATTTTGATCAGTTCAACAGTTTTTAAATTCACAATATACAATTATGCAAATAACTATAATGAAAGGTCAAGCATAACCTTTCATAGAATTGGCTCTTGCAATATATTTAACTCGTTTAAGTTGGACCCACACGAGCCTAAAAGCTGGCCGATTTTGTTTGGGGGTGGTTGCGATGTAGGAAACGGCTTTAACTTTTAAAGTGTAATCAATAATGTAATCTAATAAAGCAAAATCTGACTCATACGTACTTGGTGCTTCAGGGTGTTCGGGATTAAGATAAAGATACATCCCAGCTTCGTCACAGTCAGAGACCGCCGTATTCTGATTGGCCAAAGCTGCTTGTCCTTGAACGATAAAATGAAACGGGCTTTAGAAGAAGCAAACTCCGAAGAACGAAAACAAATAAAATTCAATTTTTGACGTAAAATGTCATTTGTAAGTGTGAACTTCCAACTCTCTTTTAAAGCCATTGTGCCTGACGACCAATCTCGACCACTCCAGTCGCATGTTCTCTAACCGAGAATCTGTATACACCTATAGGCTATGTGCACATGGTAACGTTTCGTTTCGTAACGGTTTCATCCACTATTAATTTACAATAGAAGTTAAAGCTAATTTAGCAAATTAGGCATATTTTTCCATGGATCGTGTGGGTAGGGCATCTAAACAATATTAAAACAGACAAAAACAATTTTGAAAACGCTCGAAAACGACGCTCGTGTGCACATAGCCATAGTTTCAATTACGAGTTTTGCACTCAGACACAGTATACAATAATTCAAATGAAAAACAGCCTTACTCTGTAAAAGAACATTCGCACATGTTTGACAAACCCGGGCTAATTTGTCCTCCAAATACTGAAGATTGAACTTCAAATTACAACAAGATGAACAGTAGATCTGAAATATTCGTAAGATAAAATAAATGGGCCGATGATCATTGGTTTAACTTTCCATTCAACGAATATACATTTTACATTTTCGCAGTGCTGGACTCAGACATGGGAGAGGCAAATTATTCAGTTTGTGTCAATAATATTAACGATCTGAAAATCCATAAAAAATTGATTTGGCTTAAGAAAAAAATTTTTAATTTTTTTTTTTTACCTTTCCACAGGCCCGACAATGATGGCGCCGTTTGACCACGGTGAATTTTGCCTGACAGCTCATGCATCTTTGCACACTGCTATCTGGAACCCAAGATGGTGGGTTGTACCCAAGCTGAAATGATTGCTCAGATTCGAGTACCTCATAACTGTTTGATGGAGGTCCATTTGAATCTTCAGCTACAGCGTCTTGACCAACAGGAATGGACTCTGTTGGTGTGGCCTGCGTGTTATCTTCCACATCGCCATTTCTTCCACTATCATTTGTCCCAGATGTACTGTTTACATTAGTCACAGCAACGGGCGTGTTTACAACACCTGCATTGCCTTCTGCCATGTCAGGATCACCAAAATGATCTTGCATGAAGAGCAAGGATTCTTCTTCCTCAGTTAAACGAGCAACATTAAAAACTGCGCCTTGCGTGTTTTTATTGAATGCTTCACTATATTCGTTAACTTTATGAACATTACTTAGCGAACCACTGGCCGATGACGTATCGCTCCCTACTGCACCTGGAGGGGATCCCATTAAATCTGCAACAGGCGTTTGGTCCATTAATGGCTGTTTTGGAGGTTCTGTTTGAGTACTTTCACGAGAAAAATCGTGGTGTGACCGTAATTCCCCATTGGCAGTGTCTGCTAACAAATCACTACGTTTATCATCACCATGAAGTAAATCTTGGTCTTTATTATCAACCTTAGACATTTCCGTCCTTGTGTTGTCTGTAGTTAAGTCAATGAGTGAGTTTTCATTATCAATATGTGATGTGGAAGGCATGTTAATGAGGTTACCACTAGGACCCTGAATACAATCCTGAACAGCTTCATTATTGAGAAATGTCTGAGAAAAATTTGAGTTTGATCTCTGGGAATGATCAATAGGATTATCAATATCTAATAGTAGAAGATCCTGATGCAAATTGTTTGCCATATTAGGATTACCAGGGCACATATCCCTCAACAGGTCACCATGGGAAGTTTTTTTGTCTGTTATTCCATTAGTAATGTCTGGTGGTATTGGATCTGAATGTGGGCCAACATTACCCAATAAATCTACTTTGTTTAAGATAGAAGGTTCAGAAGTGACAGCTACATCTGTAAGGTCCATTAAGTTATCCGAACTTGAGTTTTGCCCTGGGTCAGTGGTATGTCCTGCTTCTCTATTATGCTTAAAATTATCATCAACAGACATACCATTACAAACACTAACATCAGTTGACAACAAGTCAATAGCCGGTTTTGTATGATTAAGCTTGTCTGAAAGAGTCAAATTAGGAACTGTGTTTGAAATCATATCCTTAAGGTTTTCTTTTGAGCCAGTCTTCGTAACTAAACCATTCACTGGGAAATCTGATTTATTTGCAAATCCAGATGGTGTTTCCACTGTATTTTTATCATTGGTTGAACATCTGGAATGTGAGTAACCTTGATCATTTACTAAAGATCTTCTTTGACCGGACACTACAATGAATAGTCAAAGGATAGTCAAATATTTTGGAGAAAAAGATATGGTAGGGAACTGTAACAAAATATTACACAACACTACATGCACCAGGAGTACTAATCAGTAATCACACTGCAATTATTTTATTACACTCTAGCTTTTCAAATGGCAATTTTTCCACAATAATTTTAACCCATTGGTAAGCAAGCACCTATTGGTATATAATAATCATCAAAACAGACTGCTAATCTTAGATGGAAACACTTAATTAAATACATGTTTGCAATAAGATGGACATGTCACGTCCTAACAGCAATGTCACAAGCTGGTACAGGTCACAAACAATAAGATTTCCTTATTATAGCACCGAACACCCTTCTCACTATCAAATAAATGTAATATTGAGATAAAGTTTGGACATATAGGAGCATATTCAACATTTTTTCTCTACACTAAACTTTTATAGTTTCTAAATTTAATGTTTCTCTAACAAACTGTCAATGTTGCCATCAAAGTAAATTGCATAATAAATTTATAGGGGGATCAAGAAGAGGCTGAACTATGAGGTATGTCAGTGCAGAGATGTGTGTGGCATAAAGCCTCTGTGGAGAAGGGAGACCAAAATCTTTAGGAAATTATACATGTATGTGTTGTCTACCTGGAGATGAAAAAGAATCTTGTTGTTCAAAGTCATCCAGCAGCTTGTCCAAGTCAACGGGGACAAATGCGTCAGTCATCTCAGGTAACTGTGGTAAACATTGATTGAATTATGAAAATTGTACATGCAAGTAAGAGGCTTAGAAAATAGATAATATTGTTTTAACTCTTCTATTGTATTGGCCAGATGCCTACACAAACCCAGAAAATATGGCGTTCTTTGTGTATACAGTATATTGTATACTATATATTTGTACATATGATCTAATTACTTGAACAACAGAAACACTGTATATATGTGAGAGGTACGGGTTGTTTTGTAGATAATCCAACAGTGATTGGATAAATGAGTGTTAAAAACAGCTGCGGTCATTCACGAGGTGAAAAAGCAACCCATATAGATCTGATGTGCCGCACTGTAGTCATCCACTCATCCTTTCAGAGTTATATAAACATAGAGTATAAAATACTTGTGTGCTATGATATAAAAAGGAACGTAATTACTTGCCTATAACTCTGTACAATAAATACCGTTTGTTCAACAGTTTTCTTCTATTTATCTTTTAACATGGCTCGCAATATATCACACGATGTTTTTATCATCGTTTAAAAAATGGCGAAAATGTAAATAAATAAATTTCTGTTCCAATTATGTCATTGTAAATACTTATTCATGATTGGTTCATAATTGTCATGTGATATTTTCCAATCTCAAGCACATTATTTTATATCCCACTATATCCCATGCATATTATCCCAATACAGAAATTTGAGAAAATCTTTTGCTCTGAAGTGAAGGCAATTTTCTGAATGCCATTAGAGAATAGAGATTACACCCTTTTGCGTTATAGACTTTATGTTTTGAAAGGACAAATTCTTTAATTAGCTGTATATCATAATCCATCGCCTTTAGTATAATTCAGGAGCCAAAGCTAAGTTTATACCGTTAAACCTGGGTTAAATTTCAATCCGCTGTTTTTGTTTAAGAGTTTCTTAACCGATGTTCTTTAAAAAACTTTACAAAATAAGAAGCGATTAAAAAATTGATGTGATTTTAAAGACTTGCGTTATATTTTAACAACTCGCCCCAGGGTCGACTAACGGTCCAGGAACGACCTTATTACCGTAATTCGTAAGTGCTTTTTCTAGGGCAATAAAAATTGATGACTACGACATAGAGTTATTTACTTTTGGTAAAAATGTGATGGTGTGCTATAAAAATTACCTAGCCAACTCCCACTTCTAGTCTATAAAATTGAATAGTAACTGTATAATTATAGGAGAGCGAGGTAGAATTTCGTTACAGTTTTACACTCCTGATTATTATTCAATGGCATTTCGTTTTGGGTTTCTTACGGTTTCGTAAGTTACTTTTAGGTATATCAGTCGGAAACAGTATGGAGAAGGCATAGATTTTGTTAAAATGATTATTTGTTTTCGTCTATGTTTGCTTCTTAAGAATATCTACAAAGAAAAGTTCAACTCGTGCGGTCATACTAAATTTCCTTCGAAAGACGAAAGGCAAATCTTTCGAATTAAGTTGACAGGCATATTGACGATGATGTACGATTAACGAATCTATATTATATAACAAACATTTTAAATCGTCTTTGCAACGAATGAAAGCAAAAAGAAAAAAATAGGAGGTATGGTCATTTTTCACATCACTATCAGTATAAACCGTGTACCTCCTTAAAAAACTGATCAATTCTATAGTTTGATTCGTCATGGCATCATACAGGTAATAGCAATTAAACATGGTTTTGTATAGGCGGCTCTGGAAAATCCATATAGTTCTTTGTCTTTGACTTTGTTCATTGTTATTTTCATAACAAAATAATCCCAGTATGTGAAGCCTTTGCGACCATGTCTTAAAACTATTAACTATCACAGCACTGAGTATAGTCAACATATTCGAAAGCTGCCTAGGATATTCGCATTAGATAGAGTATAATACTGAGAACATTTGCGACAAATGCTGACGTGCACCATTTTTGTCACTATACAGTACAGCAGCTCTTTCCGGCGAGAAATACTGCCGTCTGTTTATCTTTTAGTACGGTGTAGGTCTACTTCTCTTTCATATATATTGAGTCAGATGTTTAGCCGTAGTCTTTATGAACGTGTATGTGAGTTACTATAATCTCCCGTTCTTTGCGTCATCAATCATTCCCCAAATATCGAAAACAAAATCATCAGGGAACTCAAATTCACCAAAGTTCGCTTCCACAGCTGCAGTGAATTCACTCGGGTTCGTCTTGTTCTTGGCTAGCTCCACTAAGCTGTCAGCTAAAAAGCGGTTAACACAATTTCAGTTATTATCATGAACGATTTATAGCTATTTTACTCATTTTCAAACAGTTAAAAAAAAACACGTTCCTGCATGGAATAAATGAGAAACTGAAATGTATAATACAGTGCTGGTATATCAGGGGTATATTTTCAATAAGTACCATATAATAACATACCAAGTTCAGCATCTCTTATACCGATAAAACTTTCCAACAAGTCATCTACTCTCTTAGCAGCATTGATTTCCCATATTGGTAACTGTAATATGACGTGAAATAAGCATAATGCCGTTTCTTATATATAGCTATGTACGAACAGTAGAAGCTTAATTGGAGAGGGGGGGGGGTGTATTCGTCTTTTGCCCGACCGATATCTTTTGCGCGATATCGTTCCTATAAATATCAGTAGCTGTATGAATAAACTTAACTTAATTCAGTGTTATATTTAGCTGCCAATCAACAGTGGTGTCCAGAATATGAACAAAGATCTTTGGCTACTGTGAGGCGCGGATACTGTTACTTCAACGTAAAGTTGCCAATGTTACAAATATAACGGCAACGCGTGATATGTCCAATACGTGATATGCATTGTATCGCCGAACAAATGATAATAATTCGTTCAATAAACACGATTATAATAAATGAATATGCTGTCATAGAAAATTTAGCAAAATAATAATGTACCTCTTCTTCTACTGTTGCTGGCCCAGTGGACCTCAGTCGCAAGGTTGCTCGTCCAGTTCCAATTTTGCTATTGTCAATTTCGGGCGGATTCTTCTGGCCTGATTTACCAAAGTTGATTCCCTCTAAACAAGTCAAAAAACATTCTAGTTGAATCAAAATTTAACAACAACCACATATTTTTCACTGGGTGATGAAAATCTTTTGCCCCTTGAAAAGGATTAAGCATATTGAAAGCACAAGCTGTATTGGTTTGTTACATTTTGGATTAGAAACATAGTTTTTCCTGCAGCTGATTGCATATTTTCTCCACAAATCTAGGAGTCCTATTAAAAGAGCTCTCTCACTCAAGGTTGATATGTAAAAATCCAGGATATCTTACTTAGAATTTAGCTGTGGAGAAAGTCCTTCACTAGGGAAAGTATACAATTTTAATTATCATGTTAAGCAGTATGACAAAATAATGCAATTCAAAGAAGCTCATAGCAGAGTTTTTCCTCACAGAGGACAACCTGGGAAACCTTAGTCTCATTAAAACTTTGAATTAATCTATTCTGTTGTAGGTAAGACAATATTAGATAAGGGGGTTGTGTCTGTTTTACTACACAGGACTTTCTGCAATACACATACCAAATGCTTTAAGAGGTTTAACTAAGCCAAACACAATTTCACTGTCCACAGGAATATCACGTAACATTCTCGCCACATCATAATGTCTTGATCCAATCACAGTTTCACCATTGATCGATTCTATATGATCCCCCACTTCTATTGCTTTGTTGTTGTCTGTAATGCTATCTTCCTTTATTCTCTTTACAAATGCCTGTCCTGCACCATTATCTGTGATTGTCAAGCCCAAAGCTGGCTCACTTTTTAATATTTTTGCTTCTGCTGATTCACCTTTAATATGTGCAAATATGAAGTCATCTAGCGCAATCTGTCCTCCAAGTAACTTCTCCATGTCCACTTTGTATGTATTTAATGTGCAGAACAAAATCTACAATGAAAATTTAAGTTAATGTGAATCATCGTTTACAGTCATACTGCTTTCCAGCAGCTTGTTTGACTATACATTTCAGGAAACATTGTTTATGTGCTAGGTTCTAGATTAGTTATGCAGTTGCAAAATTACAGTTGTACAAGTGTAATGTGTAAATTTTAAGAAGATATAAAGTCTGGGCATATATTCTCCTCATAACAAACACTCCAGGGGGCAGTTGTATAAAGAGGTAGTTATCTTTCAACTATAGTTAGTGATAGAATTGGCCAATAAGAGTTCAGAATTTCTGGGTTAACTACAATTTAATTACACAAAATGTAGTTAAGAGTTTTATACAACTGGCCCTAGCTGGAATTGTGCATGACCATTGAAATTGAATTGAATTGAAGCTCTGTCTTGTTTTTGTGATGTGCAATTAAAATTCCAAACATCAAGGAGCAACTCTTGCAATGTTTCTTAGTTTGTTATGAGCAGGAAATATGTGCCAAATAGACATTACATCATCTTAAATTATTCAAATATAACATAGCATAAAAAAAGGATTGTAGGAAACATGTGAGATGCACACTTAGAAGTTTTGCAGCAGTGGCTAGTGTAGCCAGAGGTGCAAGTGCTCACCAATAAAATTAATCTCTTTGAGACTTTTGATGTGGAAAAGCTGTTTTAATGATTTCATGAATACATATAGAACATTTCATGAATACATATAGAACAAACATATAATTAAAAAAATTTGCATGTCAGTTGGTCTAAAAATTTCAAAACAGTGATTGTATGTGGCATCAAAAATTATAATTACTACAAGCTAATACTTTCCACAATGTGTTCCACAGTGTTAGTAGTAGGTAAATTTGGGAAATATTGAACAGGAATGTCATTTTCTGAAGAATACAATATTTGGCTCACTTGACATATGATCTATCATGCTAAAATGCCACAATGAGCTTATATGAATCCACTAAATTATAACTTGATTTCTTGTTTGGACAGGTCTGGAAAAACAAACTTGCATGTCTAGCAATGTCATATACTTTTAAATCCTTCTAGAATTAATTGCAATTGTCTGATGATCAGCCAACATAAGAAGATGTGGGAGCCCCGTTGTCATGGACGACCATACAAAAATAGCGAATCAGCAGGAGCTTATTATACTGATAGGTTATCTATAAAACTATTTTAACAACCTTTATAAAAAGCATAATGTCACTGAAACAGTAAGTTTGATGCTTCAGGAAGTTGTCCGAGTGTGATAAATTTAACATAGATCGAAGTTTAATACCATCATAGCGTTTGAAAAACTCGTCGAACAAATTCTCAGTTTCACCTGCTACATGATGTAAACAATGTGAAAATTCTATTAAGTAGGATAAATATCTTGGAGCAGGGAATTATAGTCAATTTTTTTCCTATACAACGTCAACGTTGATATTTGGACAAGATTTATCTACGTCTTTGATAAAAGATAGAGACCTGCAAGTCGCTTTGAATTTCTAACTACAAAAGTGAACAATAATATCATATTTAAAACAAATCACAAGTAGCATACACAACGCCAAAAAAACCTGCCATTATTTAGTCATATGTTATACATGTATAGTCACCTTATTTATATCAATCTTGAAGCTTTCAGATATTTTCCCATATAATTCTTTGACGTTTGTAAATCCTTGAATTTCACAAGTCGGACTGCCGTGGGCAAGTTGGCAATAAAATATAAACTTCGGCGGTGTCTTGCCATTTGTAGCCCCTTCCGACTTATCGTGTGACCTCGATGGGCTTGTAGCGTGCTGTTGTTGTTCATCTTTCTTGCTTTCTTTTGAGATATCAGCAGCTTTCGCAGATGCTTTTTGTTCTGACGCTGACGGATTAGACTTAATGTTCTTCGGTGGTCGCGGCGGAGCTACCGCAGCGGGATTTGCACCGTTTGCCTTATTTGCCGGCTCGACTTCCTTATGCGTGTTTTCATAACTCTTTTTACTTAAATTCCCACTCGTTCCCTTCTTAAATAACGGCATTCTTCAACAAAATAAACCTACTTTTTTGGACTTCCGTAAAAGATACAAATGCTATTTGCCTATTTCGGAAACTCATTTGCATTTTATTTTGTTACCAGACTTTTAATTTCTCCCTCCGAAGTGACGTCATTGGCACATTGGTACATACTTGATATAACGTAACTTTAATCACAGTGTAACATAAAAACAAACTGTTTACATGTAACAGATGTATGTAAAAAATGTATGAAAAAAAACAATGAAATGCAGATGTTTAGCTCAAATAATTTTAGCTAATAGGTCTTAAAAGTGAATTTTCTTTATGCTTTCCGTTATGTCTCGCACGACTAGTTCTTATGTCCGCTTCTCCAGTTCCAATTATCCACTCAATTCAAAGGGTACTTAGTTAAAAAGCCTTTTCCGGCGGATAATTTCAGCATATACAAAATGAAAGTTATTTCATTTTAACTTACAGTTTTTATTACTTTACCTTTATGCACCGCGTATTCGGAATAACGTTTATGTGGTCATTAGCCTCACTCTCAATATTTACCTACCCTAAGAGTATAACACGTTGCTTGGTTTCTCAAGACCAAGTGGGGGCGATGAACGTCTTTGACGAAACCAGAGAAAATACACATATACTTTTATATTGGACAATTCAGATGTTGTGACGTTAATGTTCTTCAACCTTTCATTCTGTATTGTTGTCTACCAATCGATAGAAATGTAGACTGATATAGAAAGGTATGTTTGCTTTTTACCTCGGGCAGTTTATATGGAACGGCAGTTTTTACTTTCCCTATAACAAAGTACTAATAGATGTGGATGACAGAACTCGAAGACAGAGTTGCAAAAAGAGTTCAACCTTCCTCCGGTAGGATTTCAAGTTTTGAAAACCTTCCTCAAGTGGCAACCAGCATAATGAAATATTTGGTTTTTAGGTACATGCATGTCATCAATTAGAGTATTCAACTTTGAACCTTCCTCACAAACCTCATTCAAAGCAAACCTTCCTCCGGGTGGTACCCGCGTACCCGCAGCTTTTTTGCAACTCTGCTCGAAGACATTGGATAGAAAACCTAAGCTAAGCTTTCGTAGTTGTATCTCATTGATATAGAATATAAGGCGTATATCTTGTCATTTGAACTAAATACAAACAGTTCATACGATTGTGTGGTCATGATTCCTGTTCTTTCTTAACAAGAAAATTTTTTTTAAAATGCATACATTTTGTCATTAAAATTATCACCCGTTCAATTTCTATGCTAATCTTTCGTCCCTATTTCGTTCCTTAGTTCTTTCACCCTGTGTTACATTTCATATATCTAAATTTTATGCTATATGTGACAATTATTCCGGGAAATTACAAATAACTACATAAACTTTAAGACGTACAACGTTTACATACAATAGTTTGGTTAAACCGGTCATATATTTTATTGTAAAACAGTGAATTGAAAAATTGTCTCACGACGTGGGTGAAGTGAGAACTATATATTTGTTATTACAACTATGCTGGTTCCACTTTTCCTCTCCATTTTTCCCCATTCATATCTCGATATGGCCCAAGATTGCAAATGAACGCGGCATGGCCTTTCTTATCCCGACATTCGTAATTTCTTCCTTTCTCAAAGGTGCATCTTATGCAAATGAATTCGAGCGTGTCTCCAATACGAGAATGCGCAAACAGGCAATCAATCGGTGGCTTATTACTCGTATGCAGCCAGCACTCCATAGACTTCAACGCTCCACGTACACGAACACCATGACGCACCCGACCTTCCTTGTCAATATACTGTGGTTTAAAATCAATGCGCCGTCCTGTTTTTTCATGTTTACCCCCATGCGGTCTCCAGCCCGCTTTAAGGGGTTTCTCTTTCATGGCTTCCACATACTCGTGGCTGTCGGGCAGATTATCGTAGTAGTTGTTAAAGGTAGGGTTAGCAGTACCGGCGTTCAGGCCTTTGCTGAGATTGGACCTCTGCTGAGGATCGATCTCGTCAACGCCAGCGTAGGATCGATGGGTTGGGCTTTTGGGAGATTCTCGCGCCGGACTGAGTGGATGAAAATCAGTACTCGATGTTGAACGAGACACGTTGTTGGCAGAAGCGGTGCTAGACGAACGAGAGCGGTTGCCAGGGGATGCCAAGTGGTCGCTATGCAGGCTATTAGGAAGGGACTGTTGGCCTTCTTTGTGATCTTTCAGCGCAGTTGCATATGATCTTTGGTCTCGTTCTTGTTCCGACGCTGAGCGAACAAGGTCATCTTTCTCGTTAACATTAATATGGGAGGCTTTGGGTGAGCACAGGGGTTCGGCATCAGGAAATAGAGAGTACTCGCTAGATACACTTGCAGGACTCCTCTCGTCTAAGGCTATATCACTACCATTCTTTTCAAGCGGTATAGGCTCGTCATTATCGTGAGGATTAAAATTCTCCAAGGGATCGAACGAATTACGATCTGCTAATCCATTAACCAGGCCACTTAACTCCGATAGATCTCCAGGGTTATTATATACAGGGGTTTTATAGACATTAGGCAAGGGGCTATATGGCCAGGTCGCCAAGGGGTATGGGTTGGAGCTAAGACCTCCGTGTGGGGGCATACGGTGGGTTTGGTATGCATAGGGAAATGGGTTAAAAAAGTCGTACGGATCACCGGTTTGAGGCAGTGGAGTGGGATAGAGACTTGGGTGTGGGGTCTGTGTTTCCACATCTGTTGTATTCATGGTAGTTGTTTGTGTATGCTTATCATTGATAATATTTGTAGGGCCATTGGAATTGGTCAATACGTGGTTTGGGGTGGCAAAATTTGTATCAAGTTTGAAAATATCTGTAGAAAAAACAATAAGTGTTAGGATAGTATATCTTGTCAAAAATTGTGTGGAAAATGTGTAAGGATAATCTTGTCTCAATTTAAAGAAATATACTACAAAAATATAACCAAAAATGAAATATTAAGAAGGATAAGAACCAGTGAAGAGTACTCCTTTATTTTCTGCAGATACAATGTGTAAATACCTGGATTATCTTTATACCGGAACCATAATTTAACAAAGGCAAAAACAAGACCAGCTGGCAAACCCACTTCCTGCAACAAATATCCAATTTTACAATTCACAATTTCTATTATACTCACAGAAGTGTCACAGCTCACAATTCATTGAAATCAACATGAAATGTAGTGCAATACCCAATACTAACTTTTAATAAATTTTTCAACTCATCTTCACTTTCTATATATGCCAGGGTTGAGTCCTGATAACACAAGAAACAAAGTTTGAAGTATGCACATTACATGTTCATCAACAGTTTTTGCTTGTTTGTATTTTTTACGGTAGTGTAAAAAAAATTTTAAATAAAAGTTTGATAAAAGTCCACATCAACAATTACAATAATAAACATGCAATATACCAAAACTACAGTTTTACTAATCCTCAGTTTACATTCAAACACTAATCTTCTTTGAAGGGTACTGGCCCTTGTCATTTACTGATTTACTATAATCCAAAACTCTACCCTTGACACCATCTAACCATGTATACACAAGGTATAACCATAACATTTACTGCTTTCCAAGGTTTTACTTACCCTGAGTTGATGTTTATTGAAGATACATTTATGATCACTGAAGCCTAGTTCATCCAACAGGTGGTAGACTTTCTTATATTCTATTATATTATCATCATTATTTGTTAACGTTAAAGTTTCCACAGCGCCATTAGATAGACTTTGTCCTTTATCCATACTATACTAAACTACAACAAGAACAAAAAATAAGATAAAGATTTAATGAGGACTTCACAATCAGCATTATTCTCCATTTTTAGTTGTTTAAGCTTTAATTGAATTGTGCTGATATCAGCATTATTTTTTTACAGCCATTATTAAGTTTGCCAAGTGTTGTTACCATAACAACATGTGCAACCATTAAAGAAATGGAAAAAGACATTGCCATTTTATTAATTATCATTTTTTATACAATCCCAAGTCCATCTGTTAAATGGAACCTCGAAGAGCATCTTTTTTAGATGCTCATAGAAAGTGGCCATTTGTACTGTATACCCAGCATGCAGCCAATGACCCCTTTTCTAGCTGCTGGATTATATCTAAAGCTTGTCTAGACAAGAACAAAATGCCTTACAACACTGTAGCTATTGTGATTTATGGATTAACCTGGCCTTATTGTACATTTTACATTCAAAATACATATCCCCCTATGAGAAACATTGTTACAGAATATTGCCATTTTGATTCATGGATGGCTCTGAACAATTGGAGTGATGAAAGTGAAATCAGAGACAAATCTTGTCTATATATAAACAAAGCCATAATTTGACTAAAAAAATGACCCAATCATATGAAAAGAACAGCTTCACATTGTATTAAAAGAGGTTTATAGACTCCATAACTAATACTTTAATCATACGTAACTTCTTAGTATTAAAGTACAGATGTTTTGGTGTCTGAAGTAATAATCTACAAACAGGAATTCATATTTGCTTCAACTTTGGCAGAGGCAAAAATTGAAGAAGTATAAATTGGAATTATAGTACTTCTAGCATGAAAAACGTCTACACCATTGGTCCACGCTACTGGTATTTCAAAGGATCATTGATTTTGTAAATAAATATTCCTTGTGAACGTTCGAAACAATTTTTGTAGCAATTAGAAAAGATTATTTGCAAATTTTAAAATTATTTTTGGCACATCGTACATGCAAACCGTATTTTGACGTGAGATACCACAAAAAAAACTTGCTTGGGACAAGCAGGCAAGAATAATATAATATAAGCGGATTTCCCCTAGTAAAGTCATTGACGCATCAAGAGAAAATATGATACGCTTGGGTGACAAACATGTAAACAAAATCTAAAACTTCGGCTACGCCGTGGGAAGAACCTTTTTTCATTCTAAATATGCATCGTTTATTTCCTAATGAGTGCAATTACGAACGTGAAAACCAGAGTCAAACTTTAAGTGGACTACGTCCTGAAATTTCTTGCAAATCACTTAGCCCCCAGCTTAGATATATAAAACAAAGGTCCGCTTAATAGCCTTAATACATTTCCCAAGCGTTGCGACAAAATATCACTTCAAAGTTCTCAAGGCAACATATCACAAGCGAAGCAATTAACAATCGCGGCAGATAACATCATCACATAAAATGTGCAATCCTCTACATACATTTGCTTCAGATCCAGACGAGAAGATTAACAAAACACCGTGAGATTATAATACGAGCGACTTTAAATAGAAATAATGGCGATTTGCATTGTGTTGTCAGAATTTCGAGCTAGTACTATACGTATCATGTCGGTTATAGTACATTTACCGTTAGTAGGTAGCTGCTTACCTTATCTATACTTGGAATGAAATTTAATAACATCGGATAGCTATAATGAGAACACGTAGATCACTTCTCCAATATTTGCAAAATGAAAACAATCTTCCTTTCAAATCAACAACACACGGAAGCCCGCCTAAACGAGTCGTTTGGCGCCCGCGAGTGGCTTCCGCTGGCATTTCAAATTATGATGACGCATCACGAAATAGATAAAAATTCTAGAAATTCTAGTCGAAATTTTAGGGGAAATCTATCATTTCGTTGGAAATATTCTCCAAGGCTGAATTGGGATTTGGTCACCAACTAACCTACTTCCATCGCAAGAAACGCACGTCCAGCCATCATCCTGGGGCCGGTTGTTTGAAAGCCGGATAGCGCTATCCACCGGATAGTGTTTTTTCAATCGCTTTAAAATCGCTCGTTGTTGGGTATAACTTTGCTTAAATCTTAGTATCACTAAAACGAGGGTCCACTTTAATGTGAAGTCAGCCCTACTTTTGCATAATTGCATTTATTCATGTTAGAAATCAGTCCTTGTATCGAAAAGTAAAATAAATTGACTATTTTGGAAATTGGATGTTGAACAGCATTTCAATGCAAATTTTGGTTCCGCATAAATGGATGGTACTTGGAGTGTACTAAGGTACTTGAAGTGTACTAAGATGACTCTACGGTTTGTATTTGAAAGAAAGCGAATGGCGATGGCAAAAGTGAATCCCGCAACTGAGATTAATCTTTAAATGAGGCCAATCAGTCAATGAGTTATGAGTCCAAAACTTTAACTGCATTTTTACTAGTGTATTTCTGCAATTGGCTTCTTATTAGGATAATTTCTAACCTTCCTAAGCACAGTTTTGATTAGGTGTTGGGTATTTTTCAAAATTGCTTTATTTTAAGCAGTTATTTAGGAGGTATTATTGAAATTCGGTCAAGATAAAAATGAGATGTGAGCCACGGACAAAAAACGATAAAAACAGAAGCTCTTTCTAGTACAGTAAACATAAATGATTCATTTATTACCAATGTGAATTAAATACATACTGGCTTGCGAGGTTTGCTATATATCACGTCAGGATCACCAGATCAAATTTCTAAATATTCATGTAAACCAATTTCAAATGTTCAAAAAAAATTACATAAGACGCGTATTATCTAACAGTTGAGAAATTTGACCGCGCTGACCAAAATAATCGCTGGCACTTGAACAAATAACCTATATAATAACCCAAATTTTGTCTGAGCATTCGCGAATAAATAAGTGCGTGAACTATGTGGCGTTCGCGTGACACACGCGAGAAAGTTTTCCCTTAGAGGCGCGGGAAAATTAAGGCATTTAAAAGTTTAAAAGCCAAAACCAGCCTGGTACACAGGCGCTTTAATACCAAAATATATAACGTTGCATTCAGTTATTGTATAGAGGTCAGCTGAGGAAAAGCGAGCGCGCGGAGGTGCTTGGGGTGGTTTTGCTAACTTTGTCAACACTCTGATTCTCTGAAAGTACTCTGTTTAGTGATTCTCTTTCTTTAAACTCAAACACTCTCATAATTAGGCATGTTCTCAAGTTGTTAGGTGATTTCGGTATCTAAGGATTTCCGCCAGTCGATTGTGCTATTTTTGCAGCTCGTGAGCTGCTTTTTGAGCGTTATTTGAAGCAAAATAACAAATTGCAGTATACTGATTGAAATGGAAAGGCAATCTAAATCCCTTTCCCTTGCTGCTTGTAGTTCTTAAATATACCTTGTATTTGTTGTTGTGTGAATTTCCATCATAATTACGATATAATTAGTCGTTATATATTCAGGACTTCCGTTTATTACTTATATATTCAGGACACTCTTACAACAGAGCATGCACGCGCTTGTCACGAAATACCACTGGCAGTATCCTACAACTAAAAATACAGTGAATATAGCGTATTTCTGTCATTCGGTGATATATTTTTAAGGCTATAGCCTATAGACGGATAGTTGGGACTTGGGATAGGTCATTATTTAGTTCTTTCACTACAACCAAGCTTCTGCTAATGATATTAATCCTAAAATGAATGCTATGAAACCAATAGTGTGTCTATGGCTGTTCTACATGCTCGATGGGATCATCTTCGTTGGACTCGTCAAAGTCGAAATACGCACCACGACAGTCAGTAAAGGACATATTAACGGGGAACAAACCAATTCTGTCGAAAGTGCTATAAATGGTGTTGGATTATGGAAAATTTTCATTGGAAATAAAGTGATTAGAATGGAAAATTCGACGAAGCGTTTGATGTCACATTCAATAAAGCTCGTAAAAACAGTGTGTGTAACAAGAGGTATACATATATACATATATATATTAACATTGCCTATTTTATAGTGGCCCTAGAGTGGCCCACGGCAAGAAAAATGAGAAAACGAGACGCAAATTTTTTTCAGTATGGCGGCCCAGAAAGGCCACGAGAAAATTTTAAGAAAAGCTTTTCTGTTAAAAGTTTGTCGCAAACTATTTTTGTCAAACCCATCGAAAAAACATTCAACTGCAATACTTCAGACTGCAAATTATAACAATTTCTTGTCTAATCTCTTAGGGTTAGCAGTTGTTTACATGAGCCCGGTTACCCGATTAAACGAAGTGTGAGATGATTTTGAGGTATCAAACAAGTCTTTTATTTACTGTGAAAACGTCATAAAAACAATAACGTACGTAATGACAACAGACGTATATCTAGTAATTCAGTCTGCGAGCAGGCAATATAAGAATATCACGCAATATACAAATATCACGCAATGAACACTTCTAGGACAACCCCTAACCAGCTACTAACCCTAAGGGATTAGACATGAAATTGTTACCATTTTTCCAAAGTATTGCAGTTGAATGTTTCTTTGATGGATTTTGAACTAGCTGGAACCAATGCCAATGGGTGATGATAAAACCTGGAACGCTAACTTGGCCGCCATCTTTGAAGCCAAATTTTAAGGCAGTTTTTCTGAGTTTTTGAACTTTTGGGACATACGTAGAGATTATTTATCTAGGAATGTCTAGCACTATGTAAAATACAATCATTTGCTAGTATTAAAAACTCAGTTTTTTGCTTCAATTTTTGGCTTCAAAAAAGTATAGCGCTAACTATAGCAGTTAGTATTCCAGGTTGGTCACTGGGCGACGTATAGTAATTAAATATGGCGTTTTTGTACCCGCTTTTTTGCAGTACGCGTGTGCGCAAAGTGACCAACTGCGCATGCTCGGCAAGTGCCTGAAATTTTCAAAATGGCTAGGATTTCTTGGCAAACGTCTGCTCAAACTTTTCGATTAATTGGAGCTTTACAATATCGTCGTTTATACCTTCAATCTCAAGCACTTGCCGAACATGCGCACTAAAAAAGTGAGTACACTAGTTCCAGCTCCATATCTATCATATACTCTGTGGTTTGAGCTCAGAACAGAAACTAAAACGCCTTGGGGGTGTTTATTCATATATTCACTTCTGCCAGACGGATGTCTTTTCCGCTGACATTTAGCTTCTCCGCAAGCTTAAATGAGACTTATGCCGGTTGCGAAAACATAACTGATATAAGTCGACTCTTTTATTTAGGGCTATGATAATGTAAGCACATACCAATTTTTAGGACTCACGTTATAGCTGCGGCCGGGTTTATATACTCTTACTCTTATACTTTTCCAGGTTGGTCCATTTTGATTAAAGAGAACTCGATCTGGCTTTGTCTTGGTCTTATTATGTATTGTTTACTGTCGATACTCGTCCTCAAGTACTTTCTTCTACCCGTTGGAAGAAAAATAAAAAGTGTTATGGAAATCGTTATACCTAGTTTACGCATCATACCAGGCTGCAACACTCGAGTGCCAATGATAATGTCAATATTATTCGTTGTCTTGGGGTTCACTTTGTGCATTCCACTCCGCCATTTGTACTTAACTGGCCTTACGGATCAAGAGGACAGAATAGTCGGAGAGATTTCAAGCGATATGATTCACAACAATAGTGCAGTCTATCTCTTTATTAATGTAGATTGGCTTCCTGTTTTCTATTTCTCATTTTTTTGCACTAGTTTCCTCCTGAGTTTTTCGTATTGTATTGCAACAGCGTTTGACACCCTGGAGCAGAAGCCACAGATGAGGACAGATGTTGAAAAAACATTCGCGACTGAAGAGGGCATATACATCGATGTATAAACGATTTATTAGCTCAGTTTAACGAAAATGGCGTATTAAAGTGGTCTATATAATTTATATATACTTTTCTATTAGACTTTCACTATTAAAAATAATAGCTATATATAGAGAGAAATAATAAAACAAGTCAGAATATTTACAAAACATTTTTGTGAAAACATGGTATGTGTCATTTAAAAGTCATTTCAGGATCCTTGACATTAATTTTTGCTAAGGGGGGTTAAATGAATTTAAGGGGCTGTTTACATGATCCCATTTAGGCGAGATTTTTACGAGGCGTGGACTGACTTTGAGGTATTGAAATGAGTGAATAACATGCATGATCCTGGTACTGAATCGCGTAGTCATCCTAACAATAACATGTGCTTGTTTGGTTTCAAAAAATTATATTTCATTATATTTCGAAATATATGAGAATACAAATGGTACGACTTCGTCTTTACTGTGGTTGGCGCTTCGGAAAGTCACACCATTTGTATTTTCATATTAAGCATTTGAAATAAACGACAAAATTTTTAATTGCAAACATGTTTCGACTCAACTATAAGCCATCTTCAATGCGAATGAATTAGTTATTTACATTATGAAATATTCAAAGTAGAAATATGATACAGACGGGGTGATAGGTACAAGGCGAGGTATGATTGGGATTTTGGTATAATTAGGATTTTAATATCTCAAAATCCTCTCGTGCTTCGTTAAATCTGGGTAACCGCGGGCTCATGTAACAGCCCCTAATTTCGAGTTTTCAACTAAAACTTTTCTCAGTCACCTGTTGTATTATCAACGGTCAAGATTTCTGCTCCGTTGTCCGTTATAAGAATTGTGTGTTCAAATTGGGCTGACCTATATAATAAAATATACCACATTTTCACTATAACCATTGCGGATTTGATGGTTGAGCATGCAGTTGTGCGCCGCCACAAAGCATGGCAAGAAAAATCTAGCAACGTAACTGGTGATCGAAGAACGGGCTGAATGTAATGTAGGATAAAATGGAATTTGATCACCAACTAACCTACTTCCATCGCAAGAAACGCACGTCCAGCCATCATCCAGAATAACAAAATCCGGAAAGCCTTCAGTGATAATTGGTTCTACAAAAAATTGTGAACGCAGTATCTTTTAAATATCTGCTGAAGATGAATCGATCGATTCGAAATATATAGGTCTATATTTTGTAATGTGAAATGATGGAGACTTCAGTTTTTCGGTTGTGGTTTATAGTTACGTCATTCTGTGACGTCAACCCTACTTTTGCAAAATTGCATTTACTCATGTTAGAAATCAGGACTTGTATCCAAAAGTAAAATAAATTGAGTATTTTGGAAGAAATAAAATACTTTTAAAGTTAATGACAACATCATATGACAACAAAAAACAATAGGTCATCTTATCATGTATTTCGGGATCAATACCTATTGTAAATGTCATTCCAGATTTCATCCTATCTAAATTTTCATTCTCTAAAATGGAAAACAAAAGAACATGTTAAAAAACGGGAATTTCAATGGAAGTTTTGGTTCCTCAATTAATATGTTGTTGTATTACTAAGTTAATGGGTACTTGGAGTGTACTAAGATGACTCTATCCTTGGCTAATGGGGTGTAAGATGTATACTATAGAGGTACTGAAATAGTGTTTGTCATGATACGTCTAATAAATTCCGTAATTGAATTATTTTTATATTATCAGTTTAAACATAGATGCATCAATTATAGACATGCATCTTTCTCGCTATTTATCTCGACTAATGACCAAAAAATGCCCAGGGTCGGTATTCTGTAACAATACTATAAAGTTTCAGCCCTGTTTCAAACGTCGTGATTCTTGTACGCAAAACGCATCAAAAACAATAGAAAATCAGTTGAGATGCCTCATTATCTATTTTTGTTAATGCGTTCGGCACATGAGAAGCACGACGTATGAAACAGGCCTGACTGACCTACCAAAGTGGAAAATATCCGGTGGGCCGTGAAAATAGCGGCCTATCCCATGACCAATGAAATTTGGAACAACATGAAAACCATTTCTTTTTGCAATATCACTATACATAATATAAAATTACTCGATGCTTACATATAATTATGATCAACACTCTTGACAGTAAAATTTGCCACCAAAGTTAATTTATAGAAGTACAAATAAAAATAAAGTAACATCTACATAACAAGGATTTTTAGCATTGTTGCATGAACAAACTCAATCGATTTGCCCGCAAAAAATGCTTGATCAAACGACTGGTTGTTTTGTATTTATTTTAAGGACAGAACAAGCATTTCAGTTGTAATATTTTTTTATAATTTTGTATTATTTGTCAATCAGGGACGTCTATGATATCTGTGGTAGGTACTTATGCTTGTTTAATTCTTCAAAATTTGGCTGTTTGTGTTAAAAAAATTTAAAAAATTGTAAGAATTGTCTATCATTACAGATTACGTAAAGAAATGTGAACACTGGTTTTGGACCTTGTGAGTTGTGACAAGGATATATAGTACAAAACTCGAAATGAAATTTTAACAGATATATAGCTACCTTATAGTTTTTCCAATCAACGAAAAACGCTCATTATGTTTGCAAACATTGATCGCAGCATAGAGACAATCTTTGGTAACTGACACAAGCCGTTTACCACCGTCGTCAACGTTACCCACCAAAAATGTCTCTGACAAATCTCCGTGAAAACCTTTTAAATAGACCTAAAAGTTTGAAATAATGCATCACTGAGCTACAGCAAAACTTAAAAAAAAGAAAAAATTGCATATACAACTATTGCCCAAAATAAGGCCCTAGGTCGAAACGTCGATAAGTTCTTTGTCTATCAGGCAGTTGTTATACCATGTTGATGGGAAGTTGTTTGAAGACACTTCCTGGTTATACTGATATTATACTGGTTCATATATACAGCTATACTGTTGTTTTACGTACACAAATCATAATAGGAATCTTAGAAATTTCGCATGAATAAACTTTGTAGAAGCCGATTGATTGCAATTTCAACTATCATTATCAATCCAGTTGTAGCTCCCTTACTACATTACGAGCCAAGACGGCAATTAAGAGCTCGAAAACATGGGCTCGAAAAATGGAAAGAGCGATATAAGGGGGGAAAGGGTAGCTATGCCTATAGCAAATGGGATCTGCTCGGATTAAGTTCGTATCAGTTTCCTAAGATTTTTACATACAGTCGTGATATTGAACTCACCGAAACATCGACATTTATTATATCACCATCCTTTAGTATCGTGCTAAAATAATGTGGTACAATTGCATATAATAACGTTGTTCAACTGAAGTGTCGCTGAAATCTATTATGTAACGTTAAGATAAAGGGAAAAACTAATATGTTTTAAACATACTCAGTATCTGGAATACCATGACAGACGACGTCATTCACCGAGGTACACACTGATTTGGGAAAACCTTTGTAGTTTAACGGCGAAGGATAAACTCCCCGTTCAATGGCGGCATCATGGACAATTTGATCAATTTCTTCAGTCGATACACCGACCTAGAAAATGCTATACGTTATGCAACGTTTAATTGGCTCAGCAATAATAATTCACGCTAATCAATTTTTTTTATAAAATTACTTTTTCCTTCCTCACAAGTATATTATGGTATATCAAAATATTGTTTTAAAATTTCTTCATTGTACATACGAAATACTAAGTGAAGAGCAGAATATTAACACTAATGACTGTTAAAACAAATTACCTTCACAAAATCTCTTGCAGTATTCAGAACTTTCCTTGCAACAGCACATGCCTCTTTCATGCATTTGATTTCACTTGATGTTTTTACTTCTGCTTGTAATGGTGATGGTGGTACAATACCATTCATCGCATATGGTGGCTGGGCAAGATGTGATGGGACATTCTTTAAGATTGCTTTTACTGTAATATTCTGGCTTTTATTTTTCAGATTTAAAGATGACACTGCTTTGCTTTTTAACTTTGATAAAACTTTTAAACCTCGTGACATTTTATATTGTTGAGCAATTAATCAGCCCATCCAAGACATCCAAGTGACTTGTCCCTGACTATATATGATATGTACATACCATCAATAAATTATTATACCTAAATGTGACAAAATATAACCTCAGCTAAGCCAGTGGTCTTGTGGCTGCTTTGTACCCATTGCTAATATATACCAAATTGGCAATATTCTGCATTCCATACATTCAGTGTTCTCCAATCATCACTGTCATTAAACAATGAGTAAAAGAATGCATCTATCAAATCATATCTAAATCTTAGGAGAAAGGGGTGCCTGAGTTGTGAAACAATTGTCTTGACTTTTCTTTTGCCTCCAGCCTCTAGGGATGGTTTTTCATCAGATAATTGATGGAATATATAGTCTTAAATCCACCCATGCTGCAGCACAAACGTCATGTATAAGAGAGACATCGTAAATCCAATCCAAATCTCTATCCAGATAATTCGTGTGTGCGGCAGTGTGCCAATTTATGAAATGCTATCAAAACTTATAAAATGACAATGAACATTGCACTGTCGATTTTTCCTATGGCTATGCACACTATATTGCTGCATTATTTACTTTCCAGTAAATTGTAGTAAATAGGGAATCTAGTATATTAAAATTCTTGATCGTTAATGTCTTAATGACAAAAAAGTCACATGTTCCAAAGCTAAAAAATTAAATATACCATACCTTCTTGTTACCTTCTTGTAATATAAAATGGATCTAGTTCAACATAAGATTCTTACACAAAGTATCTCGGTTCTTACCTCGTCGAGTTCAAACTTTGCCTGGGGACAACAACACGTAGGAATGAAAACATTCCAAAAGTATTTATACTTGTGTATGTTTACATTTTGTTATCTATTGCCGTAATTTAGCTCTTTTTAAATCTAACATAATGACATTATCCAGAGTGTTTTCAGAATGAAGATTGGTCAACTGTGTTCGGGTGGAGTACGATTAAGACTCCTTTCTAACAGGATATCGTTTGTTATATTTGGCTGTCTACTGATTGCTGTCTTCATTTCTATAAATTTTTATATGTTTAAAGGTGAATGTCTTTTTATGTTTTGGGAGACCAGTCGTTTATTACTACACTGTTATGTGTTATCCTCGTTAAAAAGACATGCTTGATGCTTTAGTAAGCTAACCTTACACCAATGGATATAAAAAATGGTATACTAACATGAAGTATGCCTCGTGTTCAGCAATAGAATTAGCCTCTAGGTTTTTCCAACAGGGTTTTCCCATAGCAGATAGTGATTGATTTAGTCAAATGTATTATAAGCAAAAAGTAAACTCATATTTGAAAATTCAAAATTTCCTAGATTATCTGCATTCACCAATGTTCACACCACCTGATAAAATCAATTACCATGATCCTGATGACACAAATTCCGGTGAATGTTTAAAAAACTACTTTGAAGATGTCCTATTAATTATTGTTTACCACTTTCCATTTTACGACTCAATTCCTTTGCTCAAGTCATTTTATGGTGATGTATTTAAAAATATTTTGATTTGTGGTCCAGAGTCATATTTTTACTCATTTGTGATGGTAGTAGAGGTCGGTCCTGGGCTGTATGGTTACGAATGCGCCGGTGAAGCTATACGCAGGTAGGCTAAACTACAATGAAGTGCTCAATCACATGTGTACATTCAGATTCAGCAGTTAAATCAATGCGAGATGTAAAGTAGATGTAGAGGCCTATTGAGCTTGTTTCTGCATGGAATTTGTACTGTCTTTGTATAAAGAATAAATTTCAAGAGCATCTTAATGAATTTAAAATTGGAGAAATATTGAATAAATTATATATATAATAATAATAATACAATAATATTCCCAGCATTGTAATACTAAATAAAACATTGTAATAAAAACTAAACATTTTAATATAAGTTTTGAATTGAGAAAAACATTACATTTTCTTTTTAACATTTTAGCCTGCTATGTTTTGAGCATCATTTTGCTTTCAGGTACCCAGGTTATCGGGGTTATTTGTATATAAATGATGACATGGTTGTCAACTGGTGGACTTTCTCAAATCTTGACAAAGAAAAGTTTTGGCAAAGTGGGATTCTTACGGTGGGTGATAGTCATATTATGGGAGATCGACCAATATCAAACAGTTGGCCATGGTGGAATATTAAAAGTAAATCTGCTGAGGCATGTGAAGACACTTACTTAGAAGTGACCCATAAATATCAATCAAATAAAGTTATAAATATTACGAAATTGATCAACAGACATTTGGTAAATGGCGAGGGAGAAAAACGTTGTTTTAAAATGTGGTCAGACCTTTTCTATGTACCCAAAAGGTTTAGTGATCAGTTTCAGAGACTTTCCTTTATATTTCATAAAAACAGAGTGTTCTTAGAAGTAGCGGTCCCGACAATTATGAGTTTCCTGGATTTACGAGACTCGTGGGAAAAACATTACGGATTGTACTTGCCGGACAAGTATGGCTCGATTGATTTTGGTGATGGAAAATTAGTTTGGAAGAACTATAACTATGATCTTAGTTTAATTCATCCTGTGAAATACCATGGTAAAATAGCGGAAAAGAACAGGGAAAAGTTGACAAACGACATCATACCATATTCTAAAAAGTTCACAAAATGTTAGCAGTATTTTAATCCTAATTCGTTTAAGTCATATTTTTGTAAGAAATAATAAATTATTTAGAAACAAAACTGTGTCCACTTCTTAAACAACGCATTTATCAAACACATTTTCAAACAACACATTAGAGGACCTTAAATTAAATTATGATACACCAAAGCCTACGACGCGAGTCGCGGACGTGAAATAATAGACCAATTGCGAAACTTAGTGACCGCGCCTTCGTGCAACATGGAAACGAGGCTTATTATGCAAAAAACAATATTTGTATTTTTTGCAGTACAAAGCTATTCGCCGAGTTATATGCCGTTTTTCGCCTTTGTTTTACATATTTTTCGATTCCTTTCAGCTGGGTTTCATCGTTGTTATCATAGTTTTCAGGTTAGGAAGTTTTGCCTTTCAATTGAGGCGTTTTTGTGGTGTTTTCATTAATTTTTTCGGCTGCTTTCGTCGGGGAAATATAGAAAAGGCCGACACAAACTCAGGTAAAAGTTTAGTTTTTCCAAACTATTTCGTCTCAAGTTTTGAAAATGTATTTCATTTTTCTCCCTCTTATTTGTGCAAAATTTGGCGTTATGTATTTGGTGCAAAATCTATGTTTTTTATGTCAAAAATTATTGAAAAGTCACGATCGAACAAACCACCATGTTCACATTTCTCATCTAAAATTTTTTTATACCAATTTTATCGATCGATTGTAATTTGACAACAATTTTACAGCTCAGCAAAAAAATAGTAGAAATCTGTTGACAAAAACTATAACAGATAAAATAAGCGACGGAGTTTTATGTTTATTTTCCCTGTGTATATAGACTACAGTACATGTGACGTGATGCCGACTGAAAAGCAAAACAACTCTTCAACTTTTGGCACACATGCATGACATGGATAGTAAAATACTTATAACCAAGACATAATATCATTGTCTATTTTGAATTGCCATTTGAATAATCCTTTTCCCGCAATAACATACTATAAAGGTAGCCACAATGCGAGCTGCAGCGTTTTTTAAGATACACCTTTACATGATGGCAAAGCCGAAAGCGAAAAATATTTAAACCGGAGTTCGCAAGTGTTTTTCCGTTTACAATGGTGAACGGAATCCTTTCCTTTTCAAGTATTCCTGGTTAACCCTTATTAAACATCTATTGCATGGTAGTAGATAGAAAGAATAGTGTTTTGTACTAACAAAAATGCAGAATTCAGATGCAAACTCAGATGCATTCGAATTCGACTTTTATAAAATTCGGCCTTCAGGCCGGCATGCAAGCTATGCATCGTCTCTACTTTATTAAAACGAATATAAAAACATTTCAGTCAGTTACTTTTGACCATTTTAACAGTATTACTGTGGTATAAAGAAAAAAATACAGTGATATTTGTGAAGAAATTTGGATAAATGAAGCCATTTCAGTCATCAGGTTTGAAAATTATATAATCTGACTGTCACTTTTCAATAACTTTTGACATAAAAAACATAGATTTTGCACCAAATACATAACGCCAAATTTTGCACAAATAAGAGGGAGAAAAATGAAATACATTTTCAAAACTTGAGACGAAATAGTTTGGAAAAACTAAACTTTTACCTGAGTTTGTGTCGGCCTTTTCTATATTTCCCCGACGAAAGCAGCCGAAAAGATTAATGAAAACACCACAAAAACGCCTCAATTGAAAGGCAAAACTTCCTAACCTGAAAACTATGATAACAACGATGAAACCAAGCTGAAAGGTATCAAAAAAAATGTAAAACAAAGGCGAAAAACGGCATATAACTCGGCGAATAGCTTTGTACGGCAAAAAATACAAATATTGTTTTTTGCATAATAAGCCTCGTTTCCATGTTGCACGAAGGCGCGGTCACTAAGTTTCGCAATTGGTCTATACTGTCTTTATTTCCACAGTTTCAAAACAGGAATAAGAATTATGGACTCTTTTTGGTAAAAGAAGGTCAGAGCTGTATGTAAAACTAATGAAAACTGGGTTCCTAACACTAGCGGCTGATTTCATGCATGCATGTCACGTCCGCGTCGTTGGTGGGTACAGATGTACTGATATGATATAATATATATATATATATATATATATATATATATATATATAATATATATTATATATATTATATATATATATATATATATATATATATATATATATATGTGTGTGTGTGTGTGTCATTACAACTATTACTTTAGGTTTACAAACTATTTACAAACTACTTTTAGTTTACGAACTATTTACAACGTGGGCACACCTCGCCAATAGCTGCTTTGCAGACAAATCACCTGCAATATATTCCTCCCAATTGGCTAATATCTTACCCTGGACTTGCCTGTACAGCTTGCGCTGTCTTCTCTTCAATTTTTCATCGGACACCAAACGAACTTGAACCTCAATGAGTTGGGATTGTTCATGCAAGAGTCTCACCAAAAGATAAAAACTTAAGAAAGATTTAGGCGCTTAGCATGTCTGTTTAGCATACCATGGCAACCCTCCACATCGTTGTTGGTTCTCACAACTTGGCCGAAAACACTCCACGTTTCCGGCAGGCTTCCATAACTGTCCCTTAGTGACAATGAGGAAAAATGTATTATTAGTATCTGAATGGTAATTTTCTTTGTTAAAGTTTGAAAGCCTATTTTGAGCAAGGATCTTATCGTAATCTTAACACCAGATTATAGTACTAACGAAATGAAAAATTTGGTTTTTGATGGGTAACAAAAGTGTTAATAATTACCTTCGATCTAATTTGAGCGGATGTATGTAACCAATTCGGTTAATAATGGAGTGATGGCTTTGCTTACGAGGTTTTCAAACATACTTGGGATATGTTATGTAGGTAAAAAGGGCAGTGCCAGAAACTGTCTGCATAGCTTATGTTTGCTTGCTTATGAGTCGCGTTGTCATTCTTGTAGGCTGGAGCAAGGCCAATTTGCTGGATCTTTCTCCAAATGCATTGTGCCCAATGAAAGGCGCAACCACTGATATAGATACATCAGGCAAGACCTGCGGTATAACCTTCCAAAGTGCGTTCTCGAAGTCTAAGACAATCTTCTCGAGTTTGGTGCCAGACTGCCAGTCATAATGCCTTTGATTCCTCTCGGGATTTTTTTATAGTCCCTTTTTCGTTTACCTGACATCAAAATGTTAATTTGCACAGGATTGAAGATTTAATATAAGCACGAATGCCAAAGTGTAAGACAAGAACGTATCATGGGGTTTATTTACATTTCTAAACAATTGAACTTCTATACTTTTTAAAGTACGATCTGCTTCTGAATGTCGCGATCGAACAACATTTAGGTTCGCAAGGCATCTAAATGAATATGAACTGTATTGTTTGATGTCTCATTCACACGGGCTAAATTTAATCAAAAACATTTTAAAGATAATTTATATAATTCATTGTCAACTACACCCAGATGAAACAAGAACCACGTTCTCGCAAATTTTACCTTTGAGATATGAATAAATAAAAAACTACACGGAGAGTAAAATACCCAATGTGTCATGAAGAAAAATATTAATATGATTTGCCTGCAATATACAGCTTAACAAAAACACTTCACAATGTTTGACGCATTTTACAGGATTGCGGCCATTACGACTGTACATTTAGTAAAACAGTTTGCAGTTGTCTCTCTTAGCATCACTTAAATATTTAACACCTTCAGCTTTTAAATCATTGACACTTACATTTAGTTCAGTAAGTTTACAGTTGTCACTCTTCAAAGCATCACTTAAATATTTAGCACCTTCAGTTGTTAAATCATTGACTCTTACATCTAGTTCAGTAAGTTTACAGTTGTCACTCTTCAAAGCATCACTTAAATATTTAGCACCTTCAGTTGTTAAACCATTGTAACTTACACCTAGTTTAGTAAGTTTACAGTTGTCACTCTTTAGAGCATCACTTAAATATTTAGCACCTTCAGTTTTTAAATCATTGTCACTTACATTTAGTTTAGTAAGTTTAGAGTTGTCACTCTTTAGAGCATCACATAAATATTTAGCACCTTCAGTTTTTAAATCATTGTCACTTACATCTAGTTTAGTAAGTTTACAGTTGTCACTCTTCAAAGCATCACTTAAATATTTAGTACCTTCAGTTTTTAAATCATTGACTCTTACATCTAGTTTAGTAAGTTTACAGTAGTCACTCTTCAAAGCATCACTTAAATATTTAACACCTTCAGTTTGTAAATCATTGACACTTACATTTAGTTCAGTAAGTTTACAGTTGTCACTCTTCAAAGCATCACTTAAATATTTAGCACCTTCAGTTTTTAAATCATTGCCTCTTACATCTAGTTTAGTAAGTTTACAGTTGATATTCTTCAATGCATCACTTAAATATTTAATATCTTCAGTTTTTAAACCATTGACACTTACATCTAGTTTAGTAAGTTTACAGTTGTCACTCTTCAAAGCATCACTTAAATATTTAGCACCTTCAGTTTTTAAATCATTGTCACTTACATTTAGTTCAGTAAGCTCACAGTTGTTACTCTCTGGGCCATGGTTATCTTTCTTTAAAAACTCAGCCAATTCACGGATAGCAATGTTCGTCACAGTACAACGACTGATGCGAAGCTGTTTCAAGTTCTTGATGTGGTTTAAAAATTTGAACAAAGCTGCAGATTCTGCTGGTGCAATATTTAATTCATACAAAGTAAATGTTTCAACATCATCCTCAGACGCAAACGACGAAATCATTTTCATGACGCGATCTTCTTGCATTTCCCAAACACATTTTATCACGAGTAAACCTTTGACATTACTCTTGGCAATATGTCGTTTCTTTGGCATCCAGTCTTGAAATCTAGATAAATATATTTTGAGAGAATATTTTAGAAGTTTAGGACTATATTTAGACGGAAAGCTTCGTAGTAATGGCCATTTTATCAAAGAGAAAATTAATTCACAGAGTGAAAACGACAACACAGACTATCTTCAGACTAATAGTGATTTTGTTTTTTGTAGAAAGAAAACTACAAAAGTAAGAATTTCTCAAAAGAAAATATA